CTTAGGGTCCAGTCAGCAACTCAAGAAATTAATAACCTTGGAATACAGAGCTGAGCTCAAATGAAGAATTCTTCTTGGCTTTTGCTTGTCTATGCTCAGGATAACATTTCACTTCTGTATTGTCCCTTATAGTCAGCATTTCTGTCCTGAATATATCCTTGGGCCATCCATGTCCTCATTTGCTGGCAATAAACAGCAATTTCTTTTTAGTGCCTTAGTGAGTTTGACGTTATGTAACAACTTTCACACCATCTCCCAGTGCCTGACATCTAGTGATGCCCATTTTTCAGCCATTACTGCAATGTGATGAAGCCTAGTTGAAATGTATGGTCAATTTTCCAATTATATTGGCACTCAGTCACTCAATTTCTCAATTCACCTTCCCTTCTGGACATCTTTTTTTTTTTTTTTTTTTTACATCTGGATAGTGGGATTAGTCTTACCCCTCCAAGGCTGAGGATGGGGTTGTATGGGGGTCACTTAGAAGCTTGCCCCGATACAGAAGGCACGTGCATGTGTCACAGTCTCTTCTTGACATCCCACATTTGCCTGCTGGCTTCTGAATAGCTTTATTATGCACTCTTGCAGTCTTGCATTGTTGTTCTGCAGCACTGATGGGTAACACAGCAGCTGCCCCACTGCCCAGCTGGGCTTGAGCTGGTGGTTGATCAAATGACATGTATGAGCACAGCTGTGGAACTGGGTGTATCAACTGTGTTTACTTCTGTTAAAGTTGCTGCTTTTCACAGAAAATCTCCAAGTCCTGAATCACTGTGTAAATTGAATTGTTTCTTTCTATTTCCTGCATAGTGTACATCTTCATTGGGGTGTGGAGTGATTTTATAACCTCAGGCTCTGGAGGATGACATTTCTTTTCCTCTGCCTTTCATAACACTTTGCACGCTATATACCACTATATCATCATCAGGTATTAGATAGGCTATTCCTAAAAACTTTACTACCTGTCTTGGTAATCCCTGGGCAGAAGGGGGAAATTAAGAATTTGGTCTCCAGGGATAAAGAAAGAGAGTTTATTTGTGATCTGTTTAACACAGAGGGGTAGGCGGAGGGGCAAACCATACTAAGCCACAAAACTCATATCTGCACTAAGTCTTCTTAATACTGACTGGTAAAATGAGCTTTTATATGCAGATAAATATTGCTTATTTAGAGATACGTGTTTATTGCTCTTGGCAGTGCCTCCTGTAAGTTGTTTTTGGGCATCCCACAAACAACCCCATTTTTAGTGTCTTGAGAGATCTCAGTTCTGTAGTGTAATCATCACCCCTCCCACTTCTTGGTTTCAGGAAAAGCATTGCTCTTTTTTTTTCTCAGACCCAGCCCCTGTTAGACACCTTTATCTGTTGTTTCAACATACCAGTGTTATTCTGGGCAACAGTATCTCACTCATCTTTGTCCCTTTTCCTCCACAGACATAAAAATAATGGTAATGTTTTTCTAAATCAGTTCTTATTCCTGTGATTGAACAAAGTTATTTGCCCTGAAAGGCAGCATTCTTTAACTTTCTTCCCTGTGGTTGTTGTAAAAAATATAAGTAAAAATGCATACTAATGCGTTTTGTGCAGGTTGCCAGGTTTTTCCTCCTGATACCACTCAAACTGTGTGTTTTATGGTTTTTTTTGAGACTTAATCCTTATATGTAATATGTAAATCATTTAGTGTTCTTAAGGACTTTTTATTTTTCGTTGAGCTAATTAAAAGTTATTCAGTCAAGATTTATACCAGTTCCTAACTCATAACTTCACCATAGTTCTTTCACTGAAGAACTGCCAATTTGAAAAAATTAAGCAATGCAACTAGCAATAGAAAAACAAATATAAATATTATTAAATCGTATCAGAATGCTCACATTTTACTTTTCTTGATGCTCAAGGATGTACGAGTTCCATAGTACCCAAAAAGATGTAGCTGTTTACGATACAATTTTGCATAAGACAGTTTCGCTTTGTCTTCAGTCAGTCGGATTTCCTTTCAATAAGAAAGCAGCCTTGCTTTAATCAAAAGTATTTAATGTTGGATGTTTCTATTTCTCCTAATATATTTTTTTTTTTTTCAAAGATACAATATTTTTTATAATTATTTTCAACTTTGTTATGGCAGGCACTGCAAAATGCATTTCAGAACCAAGGGCTGGGTAATTCACCAATAGATTCCATCTGTGTTGACATTGGCTGCACAGCGCAGCCCGCCCCAGCTACATGAAGTAACGGTGCTCCAGCAGGGTCGAATTCAGACAAGCACCATTTGTGTTTCATTTCCTTTTTTCTTTCCTTCTGAATAACATTTTGTCTAAAAACAAGCTTTTTCTTTTTTTCTTTTTTCTCCTGTTCTGTATTGGAACCTCTTCTTCATTTCTGGATAGCTTTGAAACTTCATTGTGATGTCAAGTTAAAATTGGTATGATACTCAGGATGGCTATTTCCTGGGTGACTTAGGCTTAATAATAATAGGAATTTCATATAACATTTATACACATGACAAGGAAAATAGTTTGAGGCTAGACCAAGATATTAATGTATCTGTCTGATGAAAGAGGTGATATGAATCTGCACTGCCCCGGGAACCTTGACCATGACTCGCTTAAGCAAGGCTCTGTAAAGAGAAAATAAAAAATACGTAAAAATGAAAATTCTTCTTGAGGAAGTTTGCTCTAATGTGTCTAACAATGCAGGCCACACAGAGCTGATTTGTGCTGGTGTATTGTGCAGAATTCATGATGTGCTGTCAATATTTCAGTATTAAGTAACGCAAAGCATGTTTTAATGTCTCTTATACCTGTTGCACAGCAGCAGATAACCTTGAAAGACTCATTTAGTTGTGATGTGCAGATTTGCAATTTGTGTTTTTCAACAGAATCACACGGAAATTACACTAAAAGTCGCATTTTTTCATTATTTTGCTTCTTTGACAGATAATTGTTCTAGCAAAACTGATCTCCGATGAAAATTCATTTGATTCACACTGTAGATAACAGTAATTTCCTTCTCTTATCTGTAGTTGAGTGTGACATATTCAATGCCTATATCATTTGATATAGAAATAATATTAGTATGAAAGTCAGTCTGACCAAGAATTTTTGTGTCAGTCGCAAATCATTTCATTGTTCATAAGGAAGTTTCTGCTGCGTGATGACAAGTTAGTGCTCAATGAACTGAAGTGTAGATTTTTTCCTTTTCTTTCTGCGCCACTGGGAATTCATAAGCATCTACCTGTGAGATGAAATAACCTACTGTATATAAATTTAACTACAGAGCATTCTTAGGCTGGTAATCATCTTCTAGTTGAGAATTAGGTGTCTGGCATCGGCATGTAGTCAGTGTCATGTCTGGCTCTGAAATGCAGAGATGAAAGTGACAAATAATTTAAAGGCAGACAATGTCATGTTATTAATGCTCAAGTTCTTTACAGATGACTTTAGACCTATAGCAAAAGAGGAATCTAGTCACTGTGTCTTCACCTGTATTATGTGCAAAAAGGCTTCATGCATTTCCTTGACTGTTTTACCCACCTGAGATCTGAATGGTGTTCCAGAAGTGTCTTTATCTGGTCATGATCAAAGCCCACCTTAGTTTCTTACTTTGATATCTCTGTTCCCTGAGTTTTGAGCCTAATGAAGACAAACACATTTATTTCTTTGCATGACAATTTATTGAGAAACTGTTACTGCAGAAATAAGATTGCTTACAAGTTATGGTTTTGTAATAGTGCAATAAACCACTGGCTTTGGAAAAAGACTTAAGTTCTGAGTGTTCTGTCCCTGGAGGTGTTCAAGGCCAGGTTGTATGGAGCCCTGAACAACTTGATCCAGTAACTAATTTATTGTTTGGCAACCCTGCCTATGGCAGGGGGGTGGAATGAGATGTTCTGTAAGGTCCCTTTCAACCCAAGCCACTCAATGATTCTGTTATATGATTTCCTCCAATACGAAAATGTAAAACTGAAAACTTAAGGCAAATCTGTGTGATTTATATAAAATGCAGTTTTGTTTTTTTTGCTAAAAAATAGAACAGTAAAGTCATACGGAAGAAGTCACAGAGCACTAAATTTACTTTGCTACTAGATCAACATACCAGCAGTTGGTCAGCTTTAAATTTAAAGCAGGTTTATATTTAGAAAAGAAGCATTTCAGAATTTGACCTGGTATTTGAAATATTTATTTTATCATATAATAGTTTCTCGATGTTCCAAACTATTCGTTATTTGTTGCTCAGTTTTCTCTAAGTAAAGAATTAATATCTATATTAAGAATTAATTTGCTATTGAAAAACACCGTGCATCATTAAAGCATGATCTAAGTTAACTCTTTGATGTCTACCAGCCCAGTCCATTCAACTTTTCTAAACTGTACAACCAAAGGGTTTTTTTTTGCTACTGTATATGAATTATTTTAGATATAGATTTCTTATAAATAAGCTTCAAAAGGGTAAAACAGCCTACGCACATAAGTCTCTTTCCTACAGAGATCTTCTGAGTTTCTAGTTCTTAGCAAACTATATCTTTTCAACATTTTGGATCATATTGTGTCCCAAAGGACTGAGTTTGAGTACAGGAGAGAAGGTTCTGCTTCCTTATTATGAGCAGATGTAAAAGTTTGAAGCATAATTAAGTCACTTCTCATCTTCAAATCTCAACCTCTACTTACTGTTGTTTAATTATAACATCATATAATTAAGCTTGAGATTTAGACTTGTTTTTCTCCTAAAACCTGCTACTCTGCATCTTATTCAAAGGACAACATCCAACTCCTTCAGAGCCTTGACTTTAGAGATAGTTAAAGTGAAAAACAGTTATATAGTTAAGTATGTAAACCGAATGGCTATGCTTGTGACTCTATGTATGTATGTGTGTGTACATATAATATATAACCAGCCTTATGAGCTGATCATGAGCAGATGTTCTGACCACATTTATTTTAACTCCTTGTTGTTATTTAATTACTTTAATTACTTTCTCATTTATTCTTTTTTCCCTTCATTTAGCCACCAGATAATGGGCCTCCACCTTTACCGACATCTTCCCTTCCAGAAGGCTATTATGAAGAGGCAGTGCCACTTAGTCCTGGGAAGGCTCCTGAATATATCACTTCCAGTGAGTAGTATATATCCAGATTATTTTCACAGCAATTGAATGCTAATTCTAGTGTCTTTCAGCTTTTTTTAGAATTCAACAGTTATATCTCTATTGGTGCTGTTGTTGTATGTCATAAGTGTAGTTTCATTGTCCTCACTAGCCATGCATTGTTTTGGTATACAGAAAAGTTTTGATCTGCACAATCCAGGCTCATTTTAGAAGAACGCAAATCTGGAGCTTCAAGTTAGGTGCACATTGATGTTTTGACTGCTGCTGTAGGCAGAAGGTCCTGATTGATCCTCTGGGCATATTTGAAGCATGACTGTGCTGGAGACATTTGAATCAGGGGTCCAGAGTTAAGTATTGTCTACTCACTAAACTGCTGATAGTGTAGAGGCCTCAAAATTGATCTTGATCTGCTGATCTATTGTTGTTCTCCTATTGCACTGGTTTACTTGCTAAAGTATACAAATAAAAAGCAAAAAATTGTCTTTTCTGAATTGAGTAATTATTGAAAACATGCAGAATTTCTATTGATTGATGATGTAGCGACACATCATTTATACTGGCTCCCATAAGCCATGTTTAATGCACGAGAGTGTTACATACTTGTTTTGTGCAAAAGGCATAGGCTAGTCCCCCAGGTGACCATTAAAACTTCCTTTGGCAGCACACAAGTACTCTCTATCAAATTCCAGTACTTATGCAGAGACTCACTGCACTTAAGAGGAGACAGGATGAGAGCATAGTAATGAGAATGTATGCACGGTGTTTTATAATAAAAAGTTGCAAAGATTTTCCCTTTTGCTACTCTTTTTTATTGGGTTAGGTAATTTAATACTTTTGTATGGCCTAGTCATTTTTTGTGTGTGTGTGTTCTGAGGATTGAAGGGATATCTGCCTGCATTTTTCACTGTTTCTATTATTTGAACCAAAGCAAAAACATAAAATAATATTTCTGTCCTTAAAGTACTTCCATAGGCATCACCTGAAAACAATAATTATACACTGTGTGGCAGGGAAATTTGCTTGTCATTGTGTGTTACCTCTAAACATTAAAAACCAAAGCAAGGTAGCTGGCAGCTCTTAATTTGCTGGGAAATTCAAGATAAGAAGTAACTTCATATAATGCAAAGTAAATGAAGGAACTTAGGGTAGCAGGATCACTTCTCTTCTTACTTCCTTGCTTGAAATGCTGCAGGGTGGTCCTGCTATACCTTGCAAACTAGTGAACTGCTGACTTGTGTTTTGTTATTAAACAAAAGTCATACTCAGCAGGAAAATACTAATAGCACAGATATTAATAGCATGGCTAAAGGATCACCTAGAAAAAAAAAGTGGCACAGTATGAAACTGATATCTTTTTGTACTTAACCATCCAAATCCATAACAATATTTAGGATATCAGCCTTCAAATTTCATTAATACTTCCATAAATGTTAGTATATGTACCCAGATATCTGAAGCTTTTTTACAGTAACTTATGAGTGCAAAAGTGCCATCGCCCTGCTGTGATTTTGCTAAATTTTCTTATATCCTTAGCTTAATTTCTATTAAAAATCATCTGCTCTTCTTCTATAATTAAGTTGCTTTTAAATTTAATATACCATTAGTAATTTTATCAACATCCAAAATTTTCACAAAACCTAGTGTATATGACTATTAAAATAAGCCACCAAAGCACTGTATTAACCAAAGATAGAAGCTATAGGTAGTCAGACTGCTGAGATAAAGAAGACGGTAACAGCAAGTTTCTGGAGGTATAAGAAATGAAAGAATAAACTGTTAAATAACTGTTGGGATAGATGCAATTATCTTAAGCAAATATTCCTACAGAGTATTTTTGTAATATCATTAGTAGCAAGGAAACTTTCATACTATATACTATCCCTAGAAATTATTAAGGTCACTCAGACTTGATTAGATTTGACAAAACCCCAAAACAGTTTATTTTGGACAGATGCTTTTCACTTTCTTTTTTTCCTACCGGATTTTCATATTTCTCTCCTTCCTCCCCACCACCACCCCTCCAAAACCTTAAGAGTGTTCACATATACATGTGCATAATACATTTTCAGATCTTAATTACAATTCCGAGTGCAGCCTCATCTATATTTTTTTTAAATATCTATTTTAAATGAAGATCAAACTGTTGTGTATACTACAAATGAGATTAGAATATCTGGGGTCAATTTGGAGCCTCTGGTATATCCTGTTGTCAGCTGCACACGGGTTGGGACAGACACACAATAAGCTCACCAGCAATTCAGTCCCTTGTCTTGTTCCTAAGTGCTGCGGGTCTCTTTCCTATGTCCCAGGCTGTGTCCCAAGTACCTAGCTAAAGAAAATGAGAGATTTTCTTCCTTGAAGTTTTTGGGAGAAATTTTATCAACGGGAAATATTCCAAGCAATTCTTCTCCGTGGGAAGATTGTTCACTTCTCCACTGGAAAACAAGTGTGTCTTCATGTCTCAGTAATTATCTGAGGGGCTTCATGTATACCCACATAATCAACTAAATATGCATGGTGGAAATGAGGGCTCTATAGTAATAGAAAATTAGTTTTGTAATAGAGCGGACTGCTAGAGAGCTGTCTGCATTATTGAAAGCATAAGAACTAAGCAAAGATTGCGTAATTAAAAAGGAATCTTGCCACTACTTCATAAAACTTGGTGCAGGATTAAACTACCTCATCTAAGCACATAAGAAGTATTTTTGCAGAATGGTTTTAACATGAGCAGAATCCATAGTTCAGGGAACATCATCGCCTATCCAGCATTAATCATGTCTCTGCAGGTGCTGTAATTGTGAACTACAAGAAATGTTATGACAGGTAGATAGTACCCCCACATTTATTCTTGTGACCTTTGTCATATGCGGTGTTTATTTCTTAATGTGCTTTACTAATATTTACATTTCTATGCCTACATTCTGCATTCTGCAATCAGTGAGATCGAGACATTTTCTCTGTAAAAGAACTACAAATGATGAAAGTATCTGCCAAGTAACACTTTGAAGGTAGTAAAGCCATTTATTCCCAGCTTGTTTTTCAATTCAAATTCACAAGGTTTCAACACCTCTGTCTCCTGTAAAATTTCATAATGGAAATACATCTTTTATTTAATTAACTTAATGTACTGATATTACTAAGCACTGAAACAGTAGTTTGTTCATGGCTGACATTCAAAAGCCTTAGTTTAAAAAGGCACCCTGTTGGGCTCTTCAGTTATTTCTGTACACTTAATGGCTAAATGTTTTAACTTGACTCTCTCATGCTTTTCTTGAAGATTATGACTCAGATGCTATGAGCAGCTCTTATGAATCCTATGATGAAGAGGAAGAGGATGGAAAGGGGAAGAAAATGAGACATCAGTGGCCTTCTGAGGAGGCCTCTATGGATCTGGTGAAGGATGCCAAAATTTGTGCCTTCCTACTTAGAAAGAAACGATTCGGGCAATGGACCAAACTACTGTGTGTTATCAAAGAAAACAAACTACTGGTAATTCTTATTTCTATCTGCCTGTATTTTCTTTCTACCTTTTAGACTGTGTATTTATTTTTATAGAGATTTAGCTTTGGAATAAGTTCTGCAAACAGTGGCCAAGTCTACGGTAACCTTACCAACAAGTTCGGTTATGATTTACCCAAGAATCTGAAAACTACTGAAATTATAAGCGTATCATGTAACCACTTAGGCTTTTATTGCTCTTAAACCCAGTCGGTTCCCTGATGTAGGAAAGAAAGTCTAGCCTATTAGCTTTCACTGTATTTCATTTGGAGAAAATTTTGCTGAAACTATAAATCCAATCTTTCATTCCCTGTGGACCAAAAATCTCATAGGGAGCTTTGTGTATGAACTGTTGGATCAGACTGCTGGAGAGAAAAGTCCCTTGTTAGTCTGAGAACTCACTTGGCAGCATATGCTGTTGTAATGTATACACTTTAAACTAAACCTTCACCATCTGTTCTGCAGTAATTACAGATGCAGCATTCACATGATGCACAGCTGCATTATAGAAATACATCCACTTGTTAGTGGATATATTTGTTTCTTAAGCAAATCTGTCATATTTCTGAATGATTGGAGGCACCTGTAAAAGATTCTGAAAGTTAGTAAATTGTCAGCTTATAGAAGTCTTTTTGTTTGTTGAAAAGAAGGCCTAATTGAGATTCATTTCTGTGATATTTAAAGCATTCTGACGCTTACAGTAACGTATCAGCTGGGGCCTCCCAGTCTTCCAGTGTGATGTTTGCGATAGGTCTAGCTAATTATGTAACTAGTAAATGCTATAATATCCCAAGGATTAAAAGCTGATTAACACGTGATAGAAAACTTTCTGTAGAACCTCAGTATTCTACACGTGTACAGGACAGGTTAGGGGTGTTCACTTTCCAAGTGCATTAACAGTTATTGGCTGTATGGGAACTGTCATGATGTGAAATAGAGATAAGAAGCTTCTGGAAATCTGGAAATGGAGTTCTGGAAAGCTGGAGTTCACTTGTTAGTTTTCCATGGTTACTGAGGATTTAATGCTTGTATCCAAACAAAGAAATGTTTAATGTGATTTGGTTTGTATCTTGCTGTAACGTCACTATTTTTAGTCAACATTTTTATCAACATATAACAGAACCAAGTCAGGTTTCAGGACCTGAATTACAGCTTGAAGAAAAGAAAGAATAAAAAGGGAAAGAAGCAAATTTTCTCAGAAGTCACACAGTATTTCTTCTAGAATTATGTTTGCTGTTCTATAGAGAAATATGTTATTATTTTCTTTTTTCCTAAAGCCACATGTGTGGTCTGCAAAGATTATTCTCTTTATAGGGATTGTCTTTCATTAATTCTGTAACGGGTATTAAGAAAATTTAAATCCCAATAGGAGTTTAATGACCAAATTACACAAGATTGGTTTATTGTTTGAGGGAGGACTTGGAGATATAACTTATGAGATATGCAAGTAAAACAAATATATGTTCTGAGGGATTAGAAATTGCCAGCATTATAAATGTGGCTTTAATGAAAAAACAAAAATGTTTTAATTAGAATTAGACATTAAGAATAAGACTTAGTAGAGAATTGTTTTTTTTTTTCACATACAGTTACCTAATATATAAATACTTCAGTTTTACTAATGCATAACTGTAAAAAAAATTAAATTAGTGTAAAGGAATCTGTATGCTTTTAAATGCTTCTTTGAGTGACTATTGTATGTTTTGTAGGTTTCATAGCTTGAAAACTTAAGTTTTTTGCAATTACAACCTTAAAAGTTCTGACCAAGCGGGAGAAATTTTGAGTTAATTGGCCTTGGAGAGAAAGGAAGATGGTGGGTAATTTGCAGACAGTGGCTTTATTTGTTCAGCCTAAATTGGAGTGTTTATGATATCCTTATAAAAGCTACTGTTCTGACAGTTTGCATCATGGCTTGATTATGCAGAAGTCCATGTGCTTCATTCTGCTCACATCTATACATATATTCTGCGTATATACTAGTCAGTGTTTAATACCGGATACATTTTCAGCCTTCATGCTTATCTGTATGAGTAGAAGTCCAGCTTATTTTGGTATATAAAATTACTTGGCATTCATATACACAGCTGAACATTGTTCTGCAGTCTGGTACTCTATGACAGCTTTCTTAAACTCAGCTATACTGATGTGCTAGAAGAATAGGAACTCAGTCAGCAGGACAAGTGACATAGTGTGGAACTCTTCATGTTTTAGTCACCAGTTCAAACACAGATCAAGTCATCAGTAATCCAGCATGGAATGGCTGTTCTTTGACAGCACTTACTACCGAGGGAAAAGGAAAAATAATATATAATTCATATAGTTTCAGCTAGAAGCTTATAGAGTAAACCAACATTTGTGTGATTTTTTGCAGTGAATTATGAAACTGAATTAGTTGAAAAATTACAGTCCTCTTGCCTTGCCCTCTTTCCACACTGTGACAAAATTTGCTACTTATCTGAACAAAAAGGGCAACTGAATAAGGTGTCTGTCTGTTCCTGAGTGATGGCAGCCATGTAGGCACATCCTAGGTTTGCCTTGATGGTGCTAGAGGGCAGACACAGCATCTGGGCTTGAAAGTTATTAACTGTACAGGCATGTTCTACTGCTACCTGTGAACAGACATGCGAAATCACCCTCTCCATACCTGATAGAGGCCAAGGTTGAATCATGAAGATAACGCAGAGATCCTTAATGCCCTCCATATGTTGTACCTGTCCTGCAACAGCAGATCTCTATTAATGGTGGTCTGGAAGCAATTTTTTTTACAAAGAGGATGAGAAAGAGAAATGTGAAGCCAGCATTGGCTAAGCTCCATGGTATGTGGTTAAGGGTCTGTGGAAAATATTAAAAATAGAATTTCTATATAATAACAGCTCTCCTCCAAAGTTCAGAAAGATGAGATCTAACTTTTGACCTTCCCTTACATTTTGCAGTGTTACAAAAGTTCTAAGGACCAGCAGCCCCAGATGGAGCTGCTCCTGAATGACTGCAGCATCACCTACATCCCCAAAGACAGCAAAAAGAAGAAACACGAGCTGAAAATCTCGCACCAAGGAGCGGATGCACTAGTTCTGGCAGTACAGAGCAAAGAGCAGGCAGAGCAGTGGCTAAAGGTATGGGGTAACCACTTAAATTCCAGCCAGTCTGAGATTGCAGAAATCCAGACTTAAAGGTCTGGCCTTGAGGCAGCTCCTTGGGCAACCAGAAGCTCAGTGTCACACAGCTGCTGCGTGTGCTTGTGCTTTTCACTGCTAACAGCACAGCAATTGGTACCAAGAGAGGAGATGACAATTCCCGTCCATTTCTATCTCTAGCTCATTCTCCAGAAAGATTTGGTGGCTCAGATTCCCTCAGGTAAAGAAAGCTGGCACTCAGCATGCTTTTTGTCCATCAACATAGCAGCTAAGGCTACCATGCAAAATTGGGCATACCACCATCACAGTCGTCTTTTTATAAAAGAGATAACTCTGAGGAGGTACCTGCTTGAATTGCTCGGGAGGAAGAAAAAATATTCAGATTCTTGAAGTCAGTTAAAGTTTACTGGTTCTCATGGAGCAGTGCATCCTCTGTTACAGTTTGCTCTGGAAAAGACAGTTCTGAGAAACAGGATTTTGTCATTTTTCACCTTTCTGTGTGGTCTCTGAAAATGTGGAAAATTCTGCTGCAAGGGTGGCAGTTTTATACTGGACTTTGCCAGTCTCAGATAATGGATAATGGAGTTCAGTGAGGTAGTGTGGGAAACCACTGCACTTTTAGTGGCTTGGTTTAAGACCTTTAAATCCAGCCTTTTAAGTGCATGTTGAAAGTCTAAATGCATAAGACTGATCAGGCATTCTCTATGTTGTGCTCTGATCTAACCTTATATGGTACTTATTTTGCTGAGAATAAATTGTATTTCTCCAAACACAATTGAATTAAACACATAGGAATTTCCTGATGACAGTTGTGTTTTTTTTGTAGAAAGGAGGAGAGAGAAAATGCAGCTTAAGAGGTATGAGCTCTGCTGTGGGCTAACTGACCAAGTGGAAAATTAATCTGTAATTTCCTATTTTGCAACATTAGAATATACTTTTTGGGGATTGCAGGATGTCCATGCTTTGTTTTTGAATGGGAGTTTGCATTTTGTCTTAAAAAATGTTTTCTCCTTTTAATATAAACTAATCATTATTTTTCAGTGTCTTCTAGCACCAGTATTTTAAGTTTCAAAACAAAAAACCATCTGAGTGTCCTATTAACTCACCTCAAATTCAAAGCATTGATGAGAATGAAAATGAATTCATCAGTAGTATTCTTTGCTGAGGGAATTCCACTTTAGTTAGATCATAGTAACGGTCCCATTATTTCCTGCCTTGTGCTGAAGTTGGGTTTAGTGAAGCTGAATACATTGGCAGTTATCAGACTTTCTTTCATAAAAATTGTTTTCTTTTTTTGTTGTTGTTTTTTTTCCTGTAAGACTTTCTTCACAGAGAACAGTACTAGATTTTCCCCTATCCCGGATGCATTCCTGCTACTTAAGGAAGAAAAAAAAAAGAAAAAAGGTTTTGTACAGTTACACATTTGGCACAGTTGTGTGCGATGAGGTCGAATGGCTGTACAGTATGCTGTCATCCGTAGAGCACGTGGAGACAGTCTGACAGCACTTTATTTAGTTCCTCCTGCTGCAAAGCTTTCCCCAAGAAGCTATCCCAACAACATGGCAACGCTACTGTATGCTCAGCTTCCAGGTTCTCAGTGCTGCTGCTGTACTCTCTGATCTGTACAACACAAATAGCAAGCCAGCAGCTAAAACACAGTGGTTTGTGCAGCTCTTGCAACAGCTCCACAGTTTTGAGAAGTGTGGCTCCTCAGAAAATAAAATTATTTATTTTCTGTTTTTTAAAAGGTATGAATAAACTGTTTGTTTTTTTTAATTATGAAAATACTTGGGCTTTGCTCATTGAGCAAATGAGCTTGTGAAGATTTTAATTTCTGTAGGTAATAAATAGACAGATTTGTACGCTATGCAAAGGGCCTCTGCATCCTTAGTTTTTAATCAAAACACGCCCTCTCTGTCGCTGATGCTTTATGAATGTGTACATGCCAGTGGAGCTGGGTTATTGCTTGGGAACAACAGGTTCTCATGAAGAAATCTGTATGCAAGTATCAAGTTAAAGCTTTATTCTTGAGCCTGAAAAGCTCAAAATGGATTTGAAGGCCAGATTTTCCCATGAAAGCTAAACTAGATGATCTTTTTAAAGTCAGATATAATCTCTAAAAAATGCATTTGCTTAAGCAAATAATTTTAAAATACCTATTGAAAGACAAGGGGCATTAGAACAAGTAGAGTTGAAATAAATGCAGAATATTTTAGACCTTTTTTGTAAAGATGACACCAAGAAAACAGCTGATAAACGTGCAAATTGAAGTCTAGACTGGAAACCACAGAGGGAGTTTCAGGTTTACCAGCTAACAAATACTTTCTGAAAAAGATAGCTGATGTCACCAAAGAGCCTGTCCTGATTGCAGAGCATTGAGCATAACTGGTATAAAATCCAGGCTACAGCTGAGATCATAGCAGTATTACTGTGTACAACATAAAGTGGTGGAAATTTCCAAACTTGAGTCCTAAAATGTTCCCACAAAAATGTACATGAAAAAATGTATGCAGTTACACACTTTGACCCTAACATGAGCTTTTTCCATGTGCGCTTGGAGTATATGAGCATCTGTGTGCACTTCTGTGCATTTGTGGTCAAGTGAGGTCTTAAATCTTCGTGTTTGTCTCAGCACATTCAACAGACTGATGGAAACTACGCACTTATTTGTGAGCATCCCTGGGAAATGCTACATTAGAAATAAAAGGACTACTAAGAAGATTACAAGAAGATGCTTGTTTAATGGCTTCATTCACACAGATGAATATGTTCTTTGTGCAGGGCCTTCAAACTAGCCCCAGAAGACAGCTCTTAATATTATAAATGCACAGATGCCAAAGAAATAATTTCTGAAGCAGCTTCTTTTAGAAGACCAATAGGAGAGGGAAATGGTCATGGTGTCTGGCCCCAAGGCCTTCCCCTCCTCCTAGAGATGCCTCTTGCAAAAATGAAATGAAAAATGAATTTCTGATTTATCACTCACCACTTAGCTATCATGCATCGTAGTTAATCTATGAATCATTTCTGAATCTTGTCCTTTATTTTCATTTTTTCCTAATGCTATATACCCTTGGTTAACTTTTCTTCAGCTTATGGTGTGCAGCAGCTGTTCACTTCAGGGTCTGTAATTGAGCACATAATGTATCTATCCTCATATCTGCATTGTCCTGATCCTTTAATAAGAGAGATTTCATCCCAAAGATAGAAGAAAATCAGAGCTGTGTCATTCAGTGATGCTATGTTGCCCGTCACGAGACTGCTGAGTTGACCTACCCAACTTCCATCTTTGATAGTTGCATGTTATCTCCTGTGAAAATCTTAGAAAACCTCTTATTTTTCCCCCACTACGTTCAGCTTAGTGAGAAGGCCAAGTGGCTTCTGGGCTTCTGTCTTAATGTGGACTGAGTTTTACTGAAGAGTAAACTACTGGCATAGCTCTTTGTTTACCAGTTCAAATCAGCAGAAAACTGAGCTTGTAACCATAAACACTGTGTGTCTGCTTTTACTTTCTATGGGAATTTCCAGATGAAGATCTCAAAATACTTCAAACATTACTTTTTTGGCTGAAGCAAAGCTCCCAAAAGTTGTCATTATCTCCATTTTTTAGCTGGGAAAAGTCAAGTGCTGAATGATAATGATTGTACCTTAAAACTAACTGAGTAGAAATGCAGTAGGGGGATGCATGGTGAGAACAACTGATTTCCGTACAGTGTTTGTTGGCTTACAAGTAACTGTAGGCATGCACAGTGTCCTGGGACAGTCAGGCTGGGTTCTTTCTGCACTTCATCACCAGTGCAATGCAGTGATGGCAGAACCTGAAGGCTCAGAGAGCTGAGCTGCATGTGAAAGCTGTGACAGCCTGCAAAGTCCCTTCTGGTGTGCTTGGGCAGAGCAGCAGAACCCTGTCTTTTCTGGGAGGTGGCCAGCAGCCACATGAACCAGTGGGTTTGTATGACTGGCACTGTGGGAAAAAGATGTACTTCAAAAAAAAAAGCAGATGCTGTATGTAATATTTTCTTAAAAAGCAACGAATAAGGAACCACAAGTATCCTATTTGCTTGCTTTCTCAGGGATGCATTTTCTTTATGCTAAAATCTCAAATGCAAGCTGTAGGAAATCTCAGAGCGGCACTGGGAAGGACTGAGATTGCATCTCCTGCTTTCCCCACTAGACAGCATTCCTTCTCTTTGCTGCTTGCAGCTTTGGATGGCAAATTATTTAAACAGTACCCAGCTCAGATTTGTGGCTTGCAATGCATTTTGCATCCCTGCATCGCCTAGACTGGAGGTGCAGCCCTGTGCAGGGGCACTGCTCCCCATGCAGAACAATGTCTCCAGCCACCCAGCACTGCCTGTCCGGGGCTCTTTCTAGTCCAGTGGCCATATATGGAAATAGTCTTCATGGTAGCAATGCAAGAAAGAGGACACGGGGTTTGGCTTGGTTAGATATGCCAGGAAATTATTTTTATGGGAATATACACATAGTAAAATAGGCTCGCTGGCTGTTAGTTTGCTCGAATCTCATCCCCAATGTACTCAGAGAAATGGCAATAAGACAGAAAGATGAATCTTTTCAGGATTGGTTATGCTTCAGGATGATGTTTTCCAGTACATAAAGTAAAACGTGTTTATTTTCAGGACTTACAGCATAGACTATGTGAATAATTTCTGCTTTTCCTCTAATTTCTGTGGGTAAACTTCTTGAGGCATTTCTTCTCTTTAAAGTGCTAGTAGAACTTTACTGCTCTGTTAAGTAGGATAAGATTAATGCTAATATATGTAGTGCATAAGAGGTCAATGGAGAAAATGAGAATTTAGTTACTCCAAAAGTCCCAGAAGTCCTCCAGCACTGAGCAGGAGGTGCTTCAGGATCAAGAACTGCAGGAGTAACTCTGGAGCCAAAAGCATTTCCTTCTGCTTGGTTGTATATATGCAGATTTCAGTTTGACCATAATCCCAACTTCAGAGATAAGAAGAGATGAGAGGCAGGGAACATGAGCCCTCCCCTGCTTCTAGCAGTTCCTGTATTCTGTGAGATGTAGGGATAGACTGGGACAGAAGGGTTTGTTGGTTGGTTGGATGAATTTCTAGTTTGGCTGCATAAAGAAATGAAGCAAATGTCCTTCAAAAAATGAAGCAGAATTATCAGTTTTCTCTCTCATTTCTTCTGAACTCAGTCAAATTTAAAGTTAATCTTTTTTCTGCTTGTTGTGGGAGATGGTGTCTGTCTCACAGGCATTAAATTCCTGTGAGTTTCATGAAAACAGGTGTTGGGTGGACAAGAGATGCAGTAATCACATCTCTGTGGTAAGCACAGTCTGAGACTGACCTCATCCCTTGGTATCTTCTGAGACAAAGTTTTGTAAGCCTTTCAGACACAGGAAGGCTTTCAGTCTTACTCCTTATCAGTTACCAAAGAACTCAACCACAAGGAAGCAGCTGCATGCTTAATACTTTTGCTCAGAATTTGCTGGGTTTCTTTGGGGCAGGGGATGGTAAGTAAGTAGCTGACTTTCTGGTTTTACAGCATACACCATATTTTTATCTGGCAGTTGGATCTTTGAAGGTAGTTGGAAAAACCTTATTTGATTCTTCTGATTTTGCATGTAAAAAGAATAAATGTAGGGCAACTGTTTTGCCTGCAGTTGTGGTGCGTCATTTAAAATAAAATACAGATAGAAATTTGTGTGTGAGTGCAGGTGTGAAAGATTTGTAGTCAACTTTATTGCTTGTGTATTAGGCTTTTATAAAGACAAATATTCCAGACATACCACATGGCAAAAATTCCACTGGCTTCACCCATCGTTATCAGCTGCTTTGGACAGGGAATCTTTCCAGCTGTGTACCTGCAAATATTTCCCCTTCATTCCTCATGGCGCCAACATCAGTGCAATACACTTGCATATCCAGATCCAGCTGGGGATTCAAGGCCTTATTATAACATAAATAAGTAAAAATAGTACAGTGCAGGCTGCACAAGCTTCTTCCATGTCTGCATTTGAAAGAGGCAGTTCTGGAATCTAATGGTAATATTGTTATGGTAACTATGATATTTAAAATTCTTGTGATGGAATAGCAAGAGATTATTTTAAATGTATTTACTTTTGAAGCTGTCCAAACAAATAAAAGGTCTTCTGTCTTCTGGTTACATTTATTCATATATTTTAATTATTTTAGTACACAGCATGTTTACAATCTTAGTTTGATTTTCCTGGCATCCTGTGCGTGTGTGTATATTATATATGATGCATTTATAGTGAGCAGAAGAGAGTGATTTCCCTTTTCTTATGTGTGGGAAAAATTAAGCTATTAATGGAGTATGCTCCATTACAAAGTAATCTAGTGCAGCCTTCCAATTCCATTTATTAAAAATCACACATTTGGAGATTTCTTTTATTTGCTTTCTAGTTTTGAAACTGCTGTGATAATATATTTATTCATATTTTCATACATTTCATTGCAATGGATAGAAGTTTGCTGACCTCACCCTGCTCCTGCTCTCAAGTATTTTTTAATGAAAATAGCATTCTTTTGTTTTCGTATGACTCCAACAGATGGAACATTATAGAAAAAAATTGACAAGAACTCTGAGTCTTGTGACAGAAATTCTGCAAGTTGGCAATGCGAGTGGAATGTTTTATCCTTAAAATTTTGAGTTAAAGCTATAAGCATGTGAAAACCTCATTTGTAATGGCAGCTGTCTGCAAACGTAATTATAGAGAGTGCATCCGGGCAACCATTATATATTAAAGGCATTTCATCCTGGTGAGCTCTGAAAGTATGAATTCTATGCTATGCATCACACACAATTATATTGCACATAGAAGATGATGAGGAAGCATCTGCTAACGAACCCCTTGAGCCCAGATGAAGTGTGGAATCCTTGAAAATCCATTTTCTTCAGATCTTGACACGAACTTCTATTTGGCAGCATGCTATTTTTTCAATCAAAATTTAATTACAACCCAATTAAAAACTTTAGCGTCTCCTTAAATATGTGAGGTATGATAAGAACCGTATTTACTTGAGTGCATGACTTTGCACATATTATTCAGTAAGCACTGCCAAATCATTTCCCTCTGTTCTGTCTGTAACTCCCATTAATATCTTCTTTTGCCAGAATTAACTGACTGTGTGGTGTCAGCAGATGCTGAAAACATGAGCCATTGAATCAGGGTCATGCAGAAGACAGAAATGAATGTTCCCAGAAATTGTGTTTTCTCTAACTGAAGACCAGTAATTGAAAGGAAAGTAATGCACAGAAACAAATTCTAATGTGTGTGTAGAGACCTAGGGAGAAGTTTAACTCTGAGATGCAAAAGTTTTGCAGTAGGCATATCTACATTTTCCGTTAGAAAGCACACCCAGTGCCATGAATTTGATAATACTGTGCTTATGTTTCTGAAAAAAAAGCACAGAGAAGTTCAGACAGTCGTGAAAGGATACCGAAACATTTTAAGATACTTAGAACTAAAAATGTAGGTTCATTTCCCTCCTATGCTTAGATTTGTTAAGTAACATTGAGTGAGTGATTTAATCTTTCTTTCATTTCTGAGCTCTCCATATGTAATATAGATTTGGTTCTCTTCCTGTCTTTGTGGCGTATAGTGCCTTTAATTTACGAAGTGCTCATGAATTGTTTCATTAAGGTCTCTGTAAGACCATAAACATTTGCTTTGCTTAGTTCACCCTTACAGGGAACTTCAGTGTTGTGAAAATAACTTTAAACTGTGTTTGATGTTGTCTTCAGCTATTTAATGGTTTCTACATCAAAATTGTTCAGTTCAGAACTGGGAAGAGGCTGTTATTATCCTGCTCCCCATTTAAGGAAATCTGGATTTTGACAGTTGGATAATTGCTATTATTTCTGCACCTGGTAGTTCTCAGATCAAGTCCTCCTCTCTCCTACACAGACTTGCTGTAAACGGGGAAAAAGAGAGAGCAGGGTGTGTAAACACAGCCATGTACATTGAAAGGGGAAAATCTGCATGTCTAGCAGGAAAGCTTTCAACAGGGTAGGATGTCTTCCTTCTTTATCGAGTCAGGCTCTGCTGTCCTCATGTGGCTGTCGCTGTAATCCAGTAGTGGATGATCACTGGTGTGTACAGAATAGAGTCATAGAATCATTTAGTTTTGAAAAGACCCTTAAGATTGTTGTGTCCATCCATCATCTCACATTCATATCCTTCACAGAGCCTTCCAACACTAAAATAGATCAACTCTTCTGCCCAACTTGGTGTCATTTGCAAATTTAATGAAGGTAAACTCAAAACTGGTCTCAATGCTAAGCCCTAGGGAACCTAATTGGTGAGCGGTCACCAATTAGATTTAACTCCAATCACAGTAACCCTTGGGGCCATGCCAGTTTTTTACCCAGAAGACAGTATATCCATCCAAGCCATGAGCAGCCAGTTCCTCCAGGAAAAGGCTGACTTTGGGAAACAGGGTCAAATGCTTTGCAAATTCCAAGTAAACAACATCCATTGCTGTTTCCTCATCCACTCAATAGGTCGTCATGTCATAGAAAAGATCAGATTAGTCAGGCAGGATCTGCTTTTTATAAATGATTAGATGTGCTAAATACTAATTAGATGTGTTGAATGCTGAAAAACTCTCCTTTTTTGAAAGGTTGTATTCTGATTTTGTTTTCTGTCTGCTGTTATCTTATTAGTCTATCCAAATATCTACTTGAAGTTTTCATTTCATGTATGGCTGAAAAGTTTTAAGGATACTAGTGAATATTGCGGCTTTCTCTAGCTCAGCTTTTCTGACTGCTCATGTAGAATTTAGGCTTGTATTTCCTGCAGTCAGAAAGCAAGTAAGATGGCATTAGCGTGTGACAAAATTAGTGTAATCAGTTTCCATTGGCATGAATCTGCATGGGAGAGTCAAGATCTGTTCTCATCATCACATGCAGTTTCATGCTGATAATCACCAGGTAGGAACCTCACTAGAAAAAAAAAAAGTTAACATCATAGAAAATCATCAGATGTCTTTTGTCATCACTTATGTCTACATTTAAATAGTTTCAGGTTTTGAACTTCACTTTCTATTGAGATCTCAGTGATTTCAGTGAGATTTTTCTTTAACGTTCTAAAAATACACTTAATGTCATTACCATTTTTGAGAAGTCGTTTACAATTACTTTGACCTATACCTTTATGTCAATATGCAAGTATAAAATGAAAATGTCATGAAATACCTCTGCACAGTATTAACTGTAGATCAATTGTCACTTCCTCGGATCTAATCCCACTTTTTTGGCATAATAATGTAGGTAATTCGGTGGTGTCAGCAAAGTTCATATTGCAGAAGGAGCACACAGAAATCAGCAGCGCTTTGGTTTCTCTACTAAGGAGGGCCTCAGAGCTTAGCTTGCCTAGAAACTGACACCTTCCACCTCTAGACACCATGTCTCCTGCAGGTCACACATGACATGGCTCAGGAAAGCAGTATGAGAGCTTCGTGGTGGCAGCCTGCCTGACACACTGCTGTGGACAGAAAGATTCATACCACTGCTTTTCTAACCTGCCAGCCTGCTAAGCGTTTGTGTGAATTTCCTTTCCATTTCCCCTTCGCATTCATACATAATTTTTCAAATTTGTATTTGGTAAGCAATTAATAGGTTTTGCCTTTGCTCCTAAGGTAATAAAAGATGTGTGCAACAACTGCACGGGCACTGTGGACTCTGACGGGCCATTGTCTAGTTCTCCGGTACACAAGACAGAGCTGGAAAAGGTAAGTTTACCAAAGTGATCAGTGCTAACTTTCTCAGAGCTATTATTGAGGCGCTGCTGGGCACTGCATGGTAGGCGGGATGTTCTTTAGACCACAAAGGTTTTATCACTAATTTCCGAGGGCACGGTCTGTCCCTCTGGTGGCATCACACTGCACTCATTATTGTTGCACTGTACCCAGGAAATTAAGAGCAAAATATCTTCCACAATAGCTCAGGTGTTTTCTATGCACAAGCCCAAAGCAGCTGTGTTTGCATGCTTGCAAGCACCAGCACATCATTAACAAATGAAATGGAAATATCAATAAACAGTTGTATTCTAAAATGCTCACTTTAAAACAACTTTTCCATTGTTTCTTCTTGTAGTATTCTGTACATCTTCATGTTTCCACCATTCATGAAGAAAGTGGTGCCAGCATAATCTTTATCCCCCTCATCCTGTATCCCATACACAGCAATTATAGGATAACTGGTGCTAAAAATCTATTTCAAAAGCTCCTATTTTGCAAATACTGAAAATATTTAAGCACCAGGTAGGAATGCGCTGTGTTCTGACAAGTTGGTATTGTAAATGCATGTGTGAAGAAATTCTAAAAAAAAAATCATTTTAAAGTTTGTCTTATCTACATTCATTGTTTAGTAGATTATTCATTGCTTAGCAGATTAATACACAGAGACACTGTGCAATCTTGTAATGCATTTAGAACATAATGTGCAATGATTTTTTCACTTAGAAGGAAAGTCTTTTGATGTAGACTTGTGATTTCTGTGCTATTCTAAATTCTATATGGAACTATAAAAAATTATTTAAACCTGAATATTCTACTACCTTCTGTTTACCTTTGAAGTGGATCCGTGCTTGAAAAGTGCTTTATTCATAGCAAGCTTAATTTAAATTTACTGATGAGACTGAATGTGATGAAGGTGAGAATGTGATGTGGCAGGGCAGCTGATCTCTTTGTTCCTGCAGAAGTTGTCATCTGAGAGACCAAGTTCAGATGGGGAGGGTGCTGCGGAAAATGGCATCACCACAGTGTGCAATGGAAAAGAACAAGGTATGTCTCAAATGCAGAGATGCTTACTGCAAAGAATACGTGCAAATATAAAGAGAGAGGAAGTAAAATAGATCTACCTTCTTTTTTTTTTTAATAGTCAGTAATGCTTTTGAATTTTTACTCAATGGGAAAAATCAGTATTAGTATAAAGAAACAGAATATAGAAATTTTGATTTGACTTTTTGTCTATTCAGAGGTACAGTTTTTTAAGGACAAGAGCGACCACTATAGGCAACTAACAGTTGCTTATGGTAACTCTAACTGTACAGCAGGAATATAAGCAGTGGATGTATAGACTTCAAGCAAAAAAATCCCTATATCTCTGCATATTAGAAGGATGATATGTATATATGAATATATATCTCAGTTTATATGTGTATGTGTCTGCACACATAAAAAAATAAGTATTATGTATGATTGTATATATTAATATACAGCAATGTACATAATCATGTTATATCAGTGGGTTTGTGTGTATATATTCATGTAATTTTAAGTGTGCTGCTTTGGAGCCATGCATATCTTGTAATCTGTGTTGTCAGAGGCACAACTCAAGCTGATGGCATTTTCCCTGAGTTGTATCTAAAAAACTCAATGTCTGTGCTCTTACCTCCACGCCCTTTGTTTTCTCCTCAAAAGAAAGGAAATTATGTGATTTCCTTAACAGGCTGTGTAGCAGTGGTATCATCTAGATGGCACAAAATTGACGTTTTTCTGCAGCTGTGAAGCTGAAGTGTAATGTGAGCTGCAGGAAACACTGCGTGTCGATACTGGCTTTGGTGCCAGCTGCCAGCCCTGTCTCGCCTTTTCATTCATTCCCACTGTCTTCTTCCTGTGTCATTTTTCCAACATTTCCTCACCATCCAGATCTCTGACATACCAGTAGAATGGAACAGTGTCAGTTATTGTGGTTTCCAGAAGCTGCAGTACATGCTTATGTTTCACAGCATAACTGCTAAGCTTTCAGAAAGCCCACTGCTCAGATTTTAATCTCTGCAGCACAGTGATCAGCTCTGTCATACACAGAGTTCATCCAGGTGTTGTCCAAGACATCCCAGAGTGACCAGTGGCTCAGGTGCCCTGCAGGAAGCATTCTGATGGGGCATGTGCTGCAAGGTAGCCAGAACATCTGCATTGGTGTTTACTGGGAAAAAAACATCCACACCCAAAAACCACTTTTTTGCCCTCAGCGCTGCATTTAGCAGGTGTAAGATTTATACGATCTTGGCCACAGATACAATTACTAAATCATTTTCCATGTTTGCTAGCAATTAAGCTAAACATGATAAATTATGCCCTTGTGAGTCTCAAACTGCTACTCTGTTTTCCATGTATTCCTCTTCCCATTTCAGATAATTCTTTTTCATGTGAACATTTTGTTCTTTTTCTCCTTGTTTACACAAGCCCATAACCATTAAACTTTCTGTTTGGGGAAGTAGGAAATGGAACTAAGGATGTGAGGGGTAAACTTAAAGCAGCTCCATCAGTAACTATCCTACATGTAATTTCCTTCTGAATCATAAATCAGGGTAATTACATGGGTAGATTTGCTACCCTGTCAGTTAACAGATTGACTTTTGCTCTGTTGATGGAATCCAAATCCACTGAATGTCTTTTCTGAAACAAAGATTCTTTCATTATTTTGGTTTTATTTTGCAAATAAATTGCCTTTTCCTTTTTTTAAAAATTTTGTTTTAGAACATTTTTTTCGTATTTTTCTGCTAGTTAGAATTTTAGTCAGATGTGCAGTTTTAAAAGTGATATCCACAGTCTTTGCCCTGTTACTTTCATGGCTTAGTGCACAAACTGGAGGTTAGCAAGATCTCTCTTTTCAGCAAGCTTTGTATTTTTTGTGATCAGCAATCGCGATCACAAAAAGTGCCAGCTTTTAATCATTGAGTGCTTATACTGATCACACTAATTTACTTGTTAATAGCTAATTTATAACTCTTATCTTTCTGAAAGGCCTATTGTGATTAGATTCCTTAACAACAGCCATTTTTGCTGGGCAAGCATATTATGTCTTTGTTAATTATTTGTTGCCTTTTATTAGGTAAGTGTTTAGAATGGTGTCTGATCATCTGGCTGAATTTTTATTCTCATGTATAGGTGCTGAATAGTTTGTTCATATTGATAAATTTACACAGTGACTGCTTTGGAAAGAGACTTCAAGCTGGATTAGATGAAATTAAATTAAAAGTTTGATTTTTGTTTTTCTTACCCTTCCGAATGCCTGATTTTTATAGTAAAAAGGTGATTTATGGGCATCAGTATTCAGGAGGACATATAATGTTTATCTCATGGCAGACTGCAACTGAACAAATGTTTACTTTACATTGTTTGCCAAAGCTACTTTTTTTATTCAGATTTTCTCTGTTGACTACATAATTTAAACACACTAAAATGCAAACTTTTGCTTTCTTAATAGTGAAGAGGAAAAAAAGTTCAAAAACAGAAGCCAAGGGCACTGTGACTAAAGTAACAGGGAAAAAGATAACGAAGATCATTGGTTTAGGAAAGAAAAAGCCATCAACAGATGAACAGACCTCATCAGCTGAAGAAGATGTTCCAACATGTGGTCAGTTGTTTTTCTTCTTGGGTCTTTAAGGCAGCTTGTGACTAAAAATTTTTAACATTCTAGCCTAGAATGTCCCATGAATTTGCTTTTACTGCTGTAATTTTTACCTCTGCATCAGAAGGGTGCACTCAGGTTGGAAGACTAGAGTAATCAAGAGCTTATCAAAGAGTCTAGAATAGTTTGACTTTTTAAATAAAAGAGTAGCACAGGCTTTGAAGGAAACGAGCTGTTTTCAAACCAATAGGTATAAAATAGGTTGGATTATAAAATAAATTTACACTTCATTGTAGAAAAAGCTTCCTGGTAAGCAATCAAGTATTTTTGATGAGTTTATATGCAATGGCAATGATGACAGCAGCCACATGGTCTCAGATGAAGTTATTTGACTTTAATTGTTGGTTCCTAAAATGCTGCCTATTGGGCAAATTTCTAGAAAGCTATTTTAATTGCTAGTGTTGATCACTGTTAATGACAGCTGTAATGCTTGACAACACCAAGAAAGTACATAAGAAAAGACATATAGAAAATGCAAATAGCTCAGTTTTGCATCTGAGCTGTTAATATTTGCCTGCTATTTAGGACTTTTGTAATGCATTTAGCCAGTTTCCTCACAGCTCTGTATTTTTGAACAATGCAATGCACTCACATTCTCCTCTTTGCCTTTTGGTGCTCCAGTATTAAGCAATGGCTACTTATGTGAACAGATTTGTTCCCATCCTTCTTCCAATCTTTAAAAAAAAATAACAAAAACTCCAAAAAGCCCTACCACGAGAACTGTGAAGCAGTTGCACAGTTTTGAATTTGGCTTGGACTTTTCCCCTTTAATTGATTAGGAAATCTTGGGAAACCTAGAAATCTGTGATTAGGCAGCAGCTGGCAGAAATCCTTCCTGCATGAAGTATAGTAGATGCTTGCCCAGTGTGAAAGAAGATTCATGGACCACCAGTGAGAACTTCATGGATTGCAGATGACTCTCAAGGCCACTTTGGGAAAAATTCCCATAAGAAATCTTTGATTAAATAAGTGTGTGCATATGTCTGTATATCAACTAAGTAAAGATGTGATTTGTCAAGTAAAGGAACAGCTGGGAAAAGCTGTGTCCAGCCAGATGCATTGTCCAAACCATCTGGCTTTCATAAAACTTCTAACTTCCTGGGTCTCATAGTCTGTTGATTATTCCATATTATGTGAGATGTTAACCACAGCTGTACAATCTAATTCTGAGTGCTTCTACCATTATTTCAGATGTGGGCATGAGTATAGCCATTACTATTGTCTGCATTTGGCTACACCACTTGCGAATTTTATAGAAAAATTTAAGTGTCTAGGCTTTAGTCATGGCAGAAAGTCTTTGCAGAGTTTCTCACCACCAGAAATCTGTCTGAGTGCAGAGCCCTCTGGGAGGTTGCTCTGTAGTTGAAGGCTTTTACACTTTAGAATGTTCTGCCTTACATGAACAAAGGAAAAGCCCAATCACACTGCAGGGGACACCCAGCTAGAGTGGAAACAGAAACAGAAACCCACCTGCACTTAGAGTCATAGCAAGGCTCTTCTCTCAGTATCACTGGTCGTTGGCCACATGAACTAAGTTGAAGTGCTAATGCCCCAGCTGGAACAACATTCAAGGCATTTTGGTCACATTAAATCTTGAAGATTTAAGCAAGACTGTTGTGGAGGAAGAACACGGAGAACTGCTTATTTAAGCAAAATATGAAGAGTTAGAAGAACTTTTCTGAGAGCTGTGTAAGGAACAGAGGATGGGGAAGAGTAATGTCTGAAAAAAAGACTCTTCAAAACTAGCCAGCTGGCTTGCACATGAAGGGTTTTCCATTTCTAGTGATTCTATTATAATACACAGCTATACAGGTTTTTTTGTTAGAGGAGGAGAGAGGAGAGTTGGAGAGGATGATCATCACAAGGAGCCAAAATCACAGAACTGAGTACATCCTCCTTTTTTATGGCATCTTCCAAGTTGTGCGCAATTCTGATCCTGTTGGATCAAGCTTTGACATTGGAATTGTGATATTGGAAAGGAAGTCCAGAAAAAATAATGATAAGTCATAGTTCTAATGAAAACCAAAGAGATAGCTATCCAACATGATTAAATGCTTAAATGAAAATCAGACCTGAGATAGAGGAAAAATTTTTTACATAGATCCTGGTCTGTGCAACGTATCATTTCTATGGAGTGTTTGGAAACAGCAGCATACTGAATTGATGTACCTGTAGTGAGGAAGCGAAAGTAAAACATGGTTGATGTTTTTTTTCAGTTTACATATGAACCAGGACAGAAAAAATTGGACATTCATTGTCTTGATTTTGATGTCTGGAATGATTATTGCTATGGGAATGAGAAGAAATAACTGCTATTTAATGGCTTTATATGCCTAGATAGTGCCTACATCTGGCATTCAGAATGACAAGGAAAGCAGGGTTTGTTTAAAATGGTATATATTCATGGAATTTTGATTTGTTGTAAGGACATGATTTAGTGGGCAACATTGGTGGCAGGTGGATAGTTGGACTAGGTGATCTTATAAATCTTTTCAAACCTTTGTGATACGGTGATTTTGTTCTATGATTTTGTGATATATTGTTGGGGAAAAAGAAGGAAAAAAACAAACACGTCTTAAAGATATGCCAAACTAGCTAACTTCATATTCATTAAACTCTCTAGTTTTAAGTGAGTATTAGTTTATTTCTGTCAATGTGAGTATTGACCCATTAAATTCTTATCTAAGTGTGTTGCATTCTTCTTTCTAAATGAAATCAGAAAAGGTAGCATCAGTGTGTAAACCTAACAGTGCTAATCTGTTCCTATTGGCAAAGCAGACATTGAGTGGAGGAATCTTAGAAGGTTTGTAGGATACTGTGAATGTTCTTAAGTCATCACTTAATTACATAACAGGAGCTGTGATTTTCCCAGAAGATTTGGGCAGTCATGGTTATACAGCAATTATAAACTGAGCAGTTGGGTCTTCTGTGAAGATCTGTATGAGCACATCAGCTGTGTATTTAGCTTGTTAACACCCTTCATCTCCCATTTAACTGAAGTCGTGGTCATTGGTAAGCTCCAGCTTATCCAGCCATTGCAGTGACTAATACAAAAAGCCACTTTCAGGTGAGCAGGATCACATCTTTACATGATTTTTTGCTAAGTTATTGGCACAGTGAAATTTTGCATTGAAGAAGTGGGGCAGAATCATTTTCTTGTCTTCCTAAGATCCATCTGGTCTTCCTATTACAAGAGAAATAATTTGTTTAAGTGATAATATTATTTTGAAAATAAGTGGTCTTTTTTCTTTTGTTTTTCAAAAAAACTTGGAAGTAAAGGATCTCACGTTTCATTTCATTGCAGGATATCTCAATGTGCTCTCAAATAACCGTTGGCGTGAGCGCTGGTGCCGAGTGAAAGACAATAAACTCATTTTCCACAAGGACAGGACAGATCTGAAGACACATATTGTTTCTATCCCTCTCCGTGGATGTGAAGTCATCCCAGGACTGGATTCAAAGCATCCCCTGACCTTCCGGCTGCTTCGAAATGGGCAGGAGGTTGCTGTGCTTGAGGTGCTGTGGATCTGATGGCTCTGACTTATAGAGACAACCACAAACTGAATTAGGGAAGCACTGTCAAACAACGTGACATTTCCAAAAGTCTGCTGACTAATGTTGTTGTAGAGATGGGTAATAAATACTGGAAGGAGAAAGGAAGATAGGAGTTGTAGGCAAAAGAAAAAATAAGATTTAGGAATAAGTCACATAACGCACTTCAGAAATGTCTGTAAGAAGCTTTTCCCTGCATTGACCTTCCTTTGACCTGGTGCTAAATTGTCTGTTCTCCTTTCTAGGCGTGCTTCTTTATCAGAGATATGGTCCTTTTGGGTAAATAACTTAGTTCTAGTTAAATAATGAATCACTGTTGATGGGAACTCTAAGAGTTCTTAGCTCTCATTTTTTTGCTGTATATGTTAGCCACTTTTGCTCAGTCTGAATTCGTGTCTTTCATTAAGAAAGACATTGTGCCAGTAACGTACTGAGTCTCTTTTTACACCCCTATGTTAGCTGCACAGTAACTGTGTGCCTGTAGGTGTGGGAAGAGAGAAGAGCACAGAGCTGTGGTCCTTGCAGCCTGGACAGATGCCAGTCTAACCTGTGGAAGGATCCAGGCTCTGATGGGATCTCATTTCATGGAGCAGAATTTGACTGAAGATAACTGGCAAACTGGTGTGGAAAACCCTTCTGATCTAGAAAATTGCCTTTGGTGACTGTGCCACTCTGCAACAAATTCAGGAGCAAGTTATAACTGAAAAGTCAAAATGAAACTTCAAAAAATTATGTCAGATCTTGTTTTCAGATCTTGTTAAAATTGGATTTTGAAAAGTGGTTCAGGATTTGGCAGGAGATATTTGTCTGTTATATTTTGAAAGAGGAAAGCCACTTAAAGCCAGGTATAGTGGAGGTCATGGTAATCCCCTATCCTTGAAAGTCCTATTGCATGTGAGCAGTTCAGAGTTTGAAAGAAAGCATGTCAAGAATCTGAGAAAGACCATAAAATATTAAAGTAGTGAGAAATTTAGAAATCACACACTTTTCTTTTTTCCTTCCTTGTTTTCACTTATTTACTTTGCTACTGTTCAGATTTGAATTTTTAAAAATGAGTTTTAAAGTATTTGTACTTCTGCCACTTAAAAAATAAACACCGTCAGGTAGACATATGCAAATTGAATCTTTCAAAAAACACAAATGAAGTTTCTTCTACTAGTTCAAGTTTCTTTTCCACTCATTTCTACTTGGCGATAATGTTTAATTCTCAGGATTTATTCATACTAAAATCTGTCTAGGAAAATAATTCAGTTCCAGCATTCAATTTTCTGAAGTCGAAAATAAACATGACTTGAATCTAAATCCACTAGTCTTAAATGATAATTTTTATTTCTTTTGCGGAGATTGCCCACTTTGTATTATTATCATCATAGCTGATGAGCTGATGAGCACACGGCTTACTTAAAATGCAGTCCTTCTATCAAAACAGATTTAATGAGAAATCCTGGATTTTCTGACTTCAGCAGGAAGAAACCAGAGCCTCTTGTATAATATGGTCAGCCAGGAAGAATGCTGTATTTTGAAACAATGCTGTGACTTGGTGGTGGACCAAAGACTTGATGTAGGGTTTTGCATTCTCCTTACAGGCATCTTCCTCTGAAGACATGGGCAGATGGATAGGGATGTTGCTTGCAGAAACGGGATCTTCGACAGACCCTGGAGCTCTGCACTATGACTACATCGATGTGGAAATGACAGCAAGTGTCATCCAGGCTGCAAAACAGACCTTCTGGTGAGAGGCATTCGGCTACCCGGTTGTTTTCGGTGCTATGAGAATTTATATCTGCACATTAAGTCTGATGCCAAGAGAGCTTATCAAATCCCCTCAGCCTCTTTGCCAGATCTTGAAGTCCGTCTCAGCATTGCAGTATGGTAGATGTGTTTAAGATTATCTTGTTGGCATCTTGCTAAAGCTCTGTTAAATGCAGACACCAGCCAACTTTACTCATGTCTTGACTCATTTTTAAGTGAGTCTCTTTATTAACCACTATATTTTGCTTGAATCCTTAAAATTAACCCTGGAAAAAGACAATTATGCTGAAAAGTAAATAAATACATGGGTACATAGTTTGCAATCATTTACTTATTCACTATATAATATTTGTGTCTTAACAGAACCACTAGAAGTGTGAATCAAATTTAACTGTGAGTCACCTTCTCAGAGTTTCCTTCTCATGTCCTTTTTTGATTAATTAAGAATTATGTCAAGCCAGTTCAATTTATTTATAGTTTGTAATTGTGAAGGTGGAAATTGGGAAGCACTCTCGGGTGCAGCACAGAAATTCTGTTTAAAATGCAAATTGGTCCTTCATCACTGATCCTGTGTTAAGAAAAATAGCGCATACTTTGTAAGTACAGCAATTTACATGTGCAAATTAACTTTGTCACTAAAGCAGTCTCCAGTGGGAAGAGACTCTCATTTTTCCTGGGATTGATGAGACTGTTTAGAAGCAGGAGTGAGGGAATGACTGGGCTGCAGTAGATCTCCTCTGCAGATGTACGCTGTGGTTTGCTGGGGTCAGAAGGCAAGTGGCCTGACAAGACAGTTTGGAGAGGTGTCATCCCTCATCTCAGCCAAACGAGACTCTCCAGGGATTCAACAAATGTGAAATTTGTGTGACAATACATTAGAAAATCACACTTCATCTGCCTATCATAAAAGATCAATAACACCAAAAAAAGATAAAGAAAAAGCTTCAGAGTTTTCCTAAAGAAAACACTTGCACTTACTATGTGTTAAGAAAGCTACAGCAAGAGAAAATGCTTAGCTTCATTCAGGATCTATCTTGAATGTCTTTAGATGGAAATCAAAGTGACTCCGTGTTACCACAAACCCAGTTCTGTGAAAACCAGATAGTTTTGATAGAATCAAAATGAACTGTGCTTATAGACTTATGTTAATATTTGTTTTGAAGTTAATAGGGTTCAAAAAGTTTATCCTGTGTTGACATGTGTTTTTGCTTCAGTCAGCATCTCACAATAACCACATTTAAGAAAGAAACAGAATGGAAACCTTTCGCCCCCAAATACTGCTTGGCTTTCCTTTTCTGAACAAATGTGATATTAATTGGAGCCACGTGAAAAAAACATATGCAACTAGACCACATGTTAGAAAGGAATGTCAAACAACTTGCAAAATAGCAAAATCCCCTATTAAAAATTAGTTAAAGTTCATTGGGTGTCTCTAAAAGTCTGTATAAACTTGTCAGAAAGCAACTAGAGTAGCCATGTGCTGATGTTCAGCTATTCCTAAAAAAGGAGGGAAAATGACAATGATATTAAAATATTATTGCCACCCTTTTTAGAATGAATATTCGTATTCCAATTTAACTGTGGTTGTCATTATGGTTTGGTGAACATTCAGTCACTTCAGACTTTTCCTGAGATTGATGCTCTGCCAAATAATTGGTTCTTCATTAATTATCTCATCAATTTTCTGTATGTGAATCATTAGGCTTCTAGAAAAGGCTGAGTGAAAATTGTTTCCAAGCAGTTTTCTCCATTGGCTTTCCCATTTAGCAGTTTCAGAATGCAATTAACTTATGTGGATGCATCTGTAAACTAGTTTAATGAGGCTTAGTGTAATAATGTTCATGAATTGTTTACTGATACTTAGATAAACTTTAGCTTTCTTTGCTGATGGAAACAGTTATGGCAGGTGCATCAGATCTTGTTAATGAATATCCCAGTTTTCAAATGTGTATAATATGCATTGCTTTCAATGAATCTACTTAAATAAGCAGAAACACAATAAGAGCTCCGAATGTAGTCCTTCAGGCTAACCAGAAACAATTGAGTAATGTTCTTCATTAAGAGAAGCAGTAGATAAATGCATCCCTTTAATAACGTCTAATGAAGTATGAGATAAAACAATTTTTATCCTGGCATTTATGGTAGGCTTTTTATTGTTTGTTTCTTTTAAAAAAGAAAAGCTTCTGGCTAGTGATTATGCCATTTATGCCCTGCCTGTGCATTTTACTGGGGCTGAGGCAGATCTAAAAGGCTCACACTCAACTGAGCAAGTTCATTCCTTCTGCAAGCCTGGGTCTCCTGAGGCTCAGGTGAGCCATTGCTGGATCACATCTGTCTCCCTCAGAATACTTATTTCAATGGTTTAGATGTTATTTCAAAGCCAAAAGAAAGCAAATGTTAAAACCACAGAATTCCTGAGCTCTGGCCAGCACTACAGAAGACCCTCTCAGCTTTAGCAGGGCTTTGTCATATTTTATGAATATCAGCGCAGAGCCTGAATAGTCCCATTGTTTGAGATGGAAAGCTTTGTGTTCCCTTTCACTTATACCTGAATCTATAGGAAGTATTTGGAATCTCACTCTATACCTCAGTTAGTTTCAGAGCTTGCTAGGAAAGAAAACTAACCTTTGAGGTTGTTACAGCCTTTGGGCTTGAATCTTCCAGTTTCTGCATTTTTAGATCTTTGCTCTGAACACAGATCTCACTGTAGTCTGTGATACTATGCATGTGTTCTTCAGAATTCCTGTAAAAGAAGCAACAGTATTGGTTCTGAGGAGAGCAAACAAAAGCAAAATTATTTGTCCCTCTTGAAGTTTTTAGAGGGCTCTTCTCCACTGTGTGAAATGCAGTGGTAATGAGAACAGAATGTTTGTATGCACAGTTGCCCAGGTGGAGAGCTAGGAAGCACACTGCCATTGTACAAAGTCCACACAGCCAAAAGTTCTGACATGGATATGAAAAATCCCCAGAATATGGGAAGAATGATTAGCAAATTTTCGTGGATGGGCTGACTTACGTTTCATCAGAGTTCCACCTTTTTCTGTTTTTCAATTTTTTGCTAGATTATTCAGTTTTTGCTTGATTATTGCTCCTCCAGATTCCAAGTTTGTTTCCCCCTGACCATGTGTGCACTCAGAAACACCTGCTTCTCGTGCATGCAGACAGCAAGGGAATGTTTATGGGACACTGGCAAGTTGGTTTATAACATAGATCAGCAGGTTCCCATGTAAACGTGCCAACGATTGGTTACAGCTGTTGCCATCCTGGTTTTCACACAGTCTTATCCTTGCTCTCAGAGTACAGTATGGAAACACATGGTGTAATATTGGCTGCTAGCAGCAACATATGAGTAGTAAAAGAAGGAAAGCTGTCCACAGCATTCCTGCAGAAGATGAGAATATATGTGCATCCAGGCTACAGAATCTGACACAGGGAATGTACCACAGAATCATCATTTAGACTTGGGTTCAAGTGCTGTTTTTTATTATTTTTTATTTTGTTTTATTCAGTTTTATGAACAGGCGAGTTATATCCACAAATCCATACCGGGGAAGCACTGCCAATGGCTATGCATGTCCGAGTGGAATGGCACTTCATTACGATGATGTTCCCTGCATAAATGGATCGGTAAGAATTGAATTTACACAGCACAAATGGTTTGCATGTGTTGAATGCATGGACATCTGAAAATTATATTATCTAAAAAGGCCCACTGGGCAGATTCCAAATGAAGTCCTATTTTTCATACTGGGGACTGCAAACTTCCCTCACACCTATAGAGTATTAGGGGTGTGGGACATATTGCTTACATTAACCTGTACATGAGCCAACATGCATTTAGAAAGCAGTTGCCTGTTGATGATTTGTTGCCAAGTCCTTGAATATAATACTGACTCAAGGGGATATTTTTCAGATCACACCGAAGCTGGCAAAACTAAGTACTCAGTTACACCAGGTGCATTTTGGTGTCTGTTAAAAAACATACAGAACATTTTTCTTTCCTGGGGATTTGTTCCCCATGAGAGCAGGTATTGCACATCCCAAAGGAGAATCATAGGGGTTGATTCCATCCACATAATACACAGAGCTGATCACAGTCAGCTGTGAAATAGGTTCTAATGCATAATTTACCCGTAGTGATATGTGATCCTCACAATTTACAGGGCAGATACAGCTCATGGCAGCTTTTAATTTGGGCTGTTTCGTAAATGCTCCCATTAAGGCTGAGATCAGAAAAAATTATTGTTTCCAAGTGCTAAGTGAACTGCAAGCAAAGTCCTCCATCATTTCTTCGTAATGTCAGAAAGATGGTAGAAAAAAAAACCTTTTAGGAACTGCAAGCAGCAGCATGTGGGGCGAGTAGTCTGTGTGTGTAGTTCTTGGATGTGCTCAAGCCTTTGTGTGAGTAGCATACTGCCACAGCCAGAATGGATTAAGGAAGGATATTTGGCAACCAGGCCCATGATTTCTTTTAAGATTAATTGAATGAATCACTGGAGTATTGTTGTTGAGCTTTCCATTTTTCTGTAGAAAAAAAAAAAAAAAAGGAAATGGCCTGTAGTTATTATTTTAGATAGTTAGCTCAGAATGATAATCTTCCAGCAAATAAAATGTAATATTAGCATATCAGCAGCTGGTATTCACTGCAAATACATATAGCCTGAAGAAAGGAAAAAAAAAAAAGAAAAAAAAAAAAGGAAAAAAAGCCCATTTTGGCATGTGCTAGCAGTTAGGCATTATTGCTTTTAACAACTCATGTACCAGATGTAATCCTACAGATTCATCTGTGCAGCCCATGAGGGTCCCCCTGTTAACATATTCTCCTTGTGCCCCCTCAGTGCTGAGCTAACAACTGACGATACAGTCTGTGAGCAGAAAGGGTAATAGGATAGCATCAGCTTGCTCATGCAATGGAAAATGCAAAGGCTGTGAGCCATGTAATGCAATGCTTCCTTTCCATTCTGTGCCTTCCCCCACCTTTCTGAGTAGTTAGCTTCAAGAGTAAGCAGTGAGCATAGGCTTGCTAAATGTGGAGGGCTTGCTATGGTCAGAAATCTTACTAATGTTTTAATTTCACTCAGGTTCTGCATGATGTATTGTTTACTAACTGCCAAAGTGTGTGTATTGCAGTGGGAACCAGAAGATGGCTTTCCTTCTTCTCGTAGCAGGAACATGGGAGAAGAAATGCTTTATGATAACGCAGGCCTGTACGATAACTTGCCGTCTCCAAAAATCTTTGCGCGCTATCCGCCAGCTGACAGGAAAACCAATAGGTTATCTACTGACAAACTCTCCTCTAACCATTACAAACACCCTGTCTCATCCAATCTGTCTTCTGCTCAGTCTGTCACTAATACCTCTGCTGTGGGGAGGGGATCTGTCTCGCAGGTACTGTACTATTTAATACTTGTAACACTTTTTATTTTTTTGGCTGTTCTGTTTATCTGATTGTTATGTTAAGGACGTTGGGCTATTTCAGTCAGTCTGAGCACTGAAGTGCTTGTGGGTCAGTCACCAGACTGCTGCCAATAAAACAGTTTTGCCAAGTGATACATGGACAAGGTTTTCCTCGTGAGCTCATGATGATTTACAGATTATAAGTAGTACCAAGCAGATAGATGCGGCCTTCTGTGCTTAATCTGAACACATATGTACTTTCCTTCTATGTCCTTGGCATACAGTAGTGGCTTCAAAATTAAAAAGAAAAAAAAATATGACTCGGTTGTGACAGCAAATTCACATATCTGGAATGATTAAGCATTATGTTATATATGTATAATATGAATATATATATACAAATACTAAATTATATGCACCATATTCAAATAACTGCTGGTTATTTTCTTCTTGACCTTGGTCTGCTGCATCAGGCTTCTCATTCCACTTTCTTTAAAGGCGAACGCACTATCTAACTAACTAAGGTTAAAGTCCTTTAAAGGTTTATGAAGGAGATGGTGAAGATGCCAGGGCACAGATGTGTTTGGCTAACATATTCTAGGTGGAAATGTGAGGAGTAGGCAGCACAATGTTTCTCATCCTTGGTTTCATTTTTTTTAATAAGAAAATTTTTTAGAAGCTTGCAGTTGTAGAATAGAAGATAATGTGTTAATTCTTAACATTTAAAAATGTACAACAACTGAATCATTTTGAAACAAAAACACATGTACCACAAGGTTATATAATAAATAAGAAAGTGTTGAATTTTTCTGTGGCAGACTGTGTTGAGCAATCAATGAGGGCAATCAGTGTTGAAAAAACTGTGTTTCAGGAATATTTACTATATGAAATTATTATAAGGAACAGCTATTCTGCCTTGCAGTGGCTATATTAGTATAGTAAATGCTTGATGTTCAAATAATTGGGAAACCATGGTGCCATTAGAAATGGGGTGTTCATCCCCTCGTTATTCTGTGATTCCTGTTGATTTCCCTTCTGGGATCTAGCTAAGCAGGCTGCTCTCAGAGACCAAGTCTCTGGAGAATGCTTTGTCTCTAGCTGGATCAATGCAATCTATTAAGGCTTTCTGAGCAGGCAGCTTTTTGTCAAGATTTGCCCTTGATGAGTGGATAACTGCCATGCCAGTAGCACAGGAGTAGCTGAGGCCCATTTCTGCTTTTGTTTTTAAACAGTTTAAAGGCAAGAAGCCTCCTGCAACTTCTAACGGGATCACTGGAAAAGTGAGAACATTAAATAGCCAACCGAAGAAACCTGACTCAGTGTCATGTGTGAAGCGCACAGCATCCAGTAAGTATTTCTACTCACTGCTGCCACTGTGAATGGAATCATGAGGGTACCCAAGACAGCTGTCTTCTCGGTAAACAAGATGAATAGCCACTATAGCTCTTCTGTATCTGAGGGACTGGGCAGGAGATGCCCACCATGACACCAAATGGGAGATACTGTGTGCATTAGTGACTCATCATTACTCCAGCCATGCCATGATGTAAGAGGTTGTAATGTGGAGAGTGATAAATGTATCTCTGTGGCTGCAAAAAGCCATGAGAGCAGAAGGAAAAAAAATTAGTAATGATTCTTCATTTGGAGTGTAAGGTAATTTTGTATTCCTGTGGGAAAAGGAGAGTGAGAAGCTAGGAAAGTCATGAGAACATTATGGTGCTCATAAGAAAAATTACTCTTATCTCTAATGAAAAAGATATAACAAAATAATGAAAACAAATGTACAGCTTAAAAGCTTCCTTAGAGAGATGAGATTTCAGACTATAAACAGCAGATTCAGAATATGGATTCCTCTGGGCAGGTGGATTGCCTGTAGGTAATATGAGTACATCCTTTCTGAGATGGAGGTTTAGAAAAGAAATTTTATAGGAAGAAAGTATGAGGAGACTTGTCAAATTTCCAGCCCTCAAATTTTTAATAATTAAAAGCAATCCAAACAGAGAGAGTTTCCCTTAAAAAAGAAAAGACAACAAAGACCTATAGTTGTAATTTTTAAGATTTGGATTCCAAAATTTGGCTTCTGCTAGTGAAGGAATGAATGTGACTTTTTGAGACTATGGCAAATTTTTCAGGAGTCATGGATTTAAGGGGAATATAAGAAAATAAAGTTAGGTTTTTAGGATTAAAAAATTGTGTCTTTCCAACTACACAAGTCAGTTGACATTGGAGTAGATTGTTGGAGAAAAGGCATCTCAGTTACCAGTGGCTGACTTAAACTGGTTAGGCAGCTGTTTCTCAGGAATAGTTTAAGTACAATGGATGGCCTACAGATATGCAGACAAGCTGATCTGTGGGGTGACCTATTTCCTTTAAGTTGCTGCAGGAGCAGAGGTATAATTGTGCCTGTGAAATGAATTAGAACACATATATGTGAGCCAGGAAAAAAAAGCATTTCTATGGGAAATAAAAAAGAAGAAGAAGAAGAAGGAAAGAAAGAAAGCTTATAAGTATCAAACTGAGAATGTCATTTTGTTCTATTCAGTCAGGTGAGAAAAGACATGTGCTTTAGGTACTAGAAATAGAAATGGAAGCTAGCTAAAAAGGGCAAATGTAGTTTTTCCTTTGACCACTTCAAATTAAAAATCAGGGCTTCTGAGATAAATAGAAGCTTTCTTTCCTTGCTCTGAACTACAAAGAAGCTCAAGGCATTTTTAAAAAACACTGTAATAAAACCTAGAGATTAAACTGTCTGTCCTGTAGTATTTCCTTAGCTGTGCTTCAGAGCTCAGCAGGAATCACATAACTTCAGAAAAAGCCAGTGGAAGATGGATGTCCTCCAGACATGAAGTGCATCATGTGATGTTTCAGTTCCAGGTATAGTTTTGGGTTTTACTGTTAGTTGAACTGAGTCATTGAGGTAACGAGCTGCCTGAACAGCTGAGGAAGCACATGTACACTCACACACATCTATTCTATAAAGGCTTGATTAACCCAAAGTTAGATTGAGGAGGGTTAAGTTTTTTGTGTCTACCATTTCAACCTGTGACCAGAGTTTAAACGGTAGCAGATAGGGTACAACTGGATCAAATAAATAATTACCATCTAATATATACAGATGCAGAACAGTACAAATATGGTAAGAATCGTGTGGAGGCTGATGCAAAGAGGCTACAGAGCAAAGAAGAGGAACTGCTAAAGAGGAAAGAAGCGCTGCGGAATAGGCTGGCCCAGCTCCGAAAAGAAAGGAAAGATCTACGTGCTGCCATTGAAGTGAATGCTGGTATGAGATGCTTTTTTGTGCTCAGTCTTGCCTGTGGCATTCTGTGATGAAGAGATGCCATTACATGAAATTTGGTCTTGATGTTAAATTATACTCTGTAATATCTGTATTTGGTTTTTACACATACACAAATTTTGTATGAAGATGTGTGCATACATATAGATAAACACACCTATGAAATGATAGTGATGCATATGTAAAGCAAGCATAATATGGGAATAATTTTATTGTGGTTAGCTAATTATGTTTTCATTACATGGAAAAATAACAAAAACATTGATTTGTAATCAGACTTCAAATCTAGAAAAGGAGCCTGAAAGAACGCATTTGCTTCCCATTGCTAAACTTTTTACATGACAAATGTTTTTCTGCAAATTATAAAACATTCTTATGAAGTGATTCTTTGAGCCCTTCTTTTTTTTCTTTAAAAAAAAGAAAATAATTTTTGTAGAAGTGTCAATTAAAGCTTCCTGTTGAAATAACAACATTGCTGTGGATGACAGGCAGGAAGACCCAAGTGATTCTTGAAGACAAGTTAAAGAAGCTGGAAGAGGAATGTAAAACAAAGGAGGCTGAGCGTGTAAACCTGGAGCTAGAACTGACTGAGGTGAAAGAGAGCCTTAAGAAAGCCCTGGCTGGTGGCATCACACTGGGCTTGGCTATTGAGCCCAAGTCAGGAACATCAAGTCCACAGGTATGCAGATTCCAAGACAACAGGTTGGCTCCATTAAAATAAGTGGGAAGTCAGACTTTTCCAAAGGTTTATGAAGCACATGAAATAAGAACAGAATTGTTTTTTTTATCTTCATTACCTGTATTCTTCATCTCTGTGCAATGTACTTTCTAGAGCAGTGGGGAGCAAGAAGAAGGGAATCACAAGTTGTATATATAAGTTAATATTTGTGTTAGGATAACGCTCAAAAGCTGACTCCCCCTTGTCATCAGGGTTTGTAGACAGAGTTTGTAAACTGAGATATTTCTCATTCCCAAGGAGAGATTTAAATACACCGTATCATCATGCAGTGACTGAGATCTGCTTGTTTTGGTCACACTGTCACCCTTTGCAGTGACTACCTCCTACACATTGGTGATGGAATATGGTGTCCTGGCTGCAGCAGCTGGGTAATTGTATCACAGAGGTCATACAGCCATGTGTCAAACCGTCCCCATTACCCACTGTCATTTTATTACAGAAAATGAATTTTCATTAGAGAACATACACTCTATTTTTGTTCTACCTCCTTTTTCATTTATTCATCATCATCACGAATACAATTTCTTTAAAAGTAGTTTCTGCATTTCTAAGTCTAAGCATTATTGCCTCTGTGACTACTTGGAGGAAACTCAGTGTATGGTTTTCACTCTTTATTAGTCCCCAATTTTCAAGCACCGAACTTTGGAAAACTCTCCAATCTCCAGTTGTGATACCAGTGACACCGAATGCTCCATACCTGTGAACAGTGCAGCAGCTCTGAAGCGACCTCCCTCATCGAATAGTTCTCCATGTCGGGGGCATGTACTTCGAAAAGCAAAGGTGAGTAGACATATATAGTTTTCTTTCTCTGTCCCTTTTCTTACGTACTTTAAAATATATATATATGTTTACTCGTGAAGAGATGAGAGAGAGAGAGAGAGAGAGAGGGAAATACTGGCTCTTTTTTCTGTGGGTGAAATTTAGCTTTCAGAAGTGGCATGTCAAGATCATTTGTGTTACTTCACCTATGCTTTATAAATGCTGTCCTCTAGGCAGGAGTGATGTGGGGGAATCATTTGTAGGTTAATTGATAATCAGATTTAATTCCACTTCTCTCTGTGTTCCTTTCTAACTTTAATTTGCAAGAAAAGTTGTATGTAGAGTAGACAGCCCATCCAAAATTCAGTGTTACACTAAGGAGCATAGCTGAAATGTGTCTGAGAGCTCACAGTTATGATGGAACACATTATCAGGGCTGATCTTTGCCAGCTGTACAAGAACAGAATAATCCTGCACTATATTAATTGAAAATGCAATTTACTTACTCCTAAAATGCATTTAAAGTAAAATCAGTTTAATATAATTCAACACATACCAGGATGAAGTTTGCATTCCTGTTATACTGTTACAGACTTTTTAATTTTTGTGCTTTATATTCAGTGGGATTTGCACGACCATTCTTGTGGACTACACTTGCAATAGAACATAAGCACGTGGGCAGCACATAAGTAAGGGTAACAGTAGTAGTACTGGCTCATGCTTTTGTTGATTGGGTAGTTCACTTCTAATTGTAATTATCAGTAATAATAATCACAGACAGCTGTTTCTGTGCCATCCCTTTTTTTTCTTTCTTCCAAAGTAATGAAACATTATTCAAGGTAGTTGTTTTTTTTTTTTTAAATAACTTTTGTTAAAAGCAGTCACGGCCTTCATTAATAAAACACATTTACATTATCTGAGCATAAGCCTGACACTTCAATGTACTAGATACTAAAAAATCATCAGCTTAGCAGATTATTTGGTTCTATGACTCAAGCATTGACTCCCTGTGTTTCTTCTAGCCACCATTATGCTCTCAATATTGCAGTGAATTAATTCTCCTGCTGTAGCTTATGTGAGTGCGTTTCCACCAGCCTTCCACAACTTCCTCCCTCTTTGCCATGGGCATTATAGCCTTTTCTGTCAGTTGCCCTGATTCATTTACATTCAGCTAAGAATAATTAAACGGGGAGTGATTGGTTTCAATTCTTATTAACTTTGAAGTTTGGTGCTTCTATTTGAAACTTGGAGAAGAATTTGTGCACTCCAGAGCTTATCTTTGAATTCCAATTATGCTATAATTTGTCTCATGAAGATATCATCTTTAGCTACACATTTTTGTTTTAGATTTGCATGTTAGCACAGCATTACTGGGGAAGTGTGTTTAGCAGTTGGAGCACAGTCCTGACAAAAAGCAGCATGGATTTTTTTCATGAGTGCTACAGACTGGTCAGGCACATTTAATCTTTTGATCTGGAGAAACGTGTAAAAACCTGAACAGCGTTGGTGTAAAGAATACTTTACAGCTGTATTTCATTTTTGTGTTCAGCTTATACCGAACAGGGAAAGTCCTGCCGTGCTGTTCGATATCACTGCACTTTGGGTGGCACAATAGGTTGGTCAAGTCCTGTTGGAGGGGAATCATGAATATAAGATTAGATTAATCTGAAAGTCTATAGAGCTACTAAGTGCATTTCCCACCCTGGGAAAAATAACTCAAAATATCCAATTCAGCTTTAGCAGCTTTTTCCTGAAAGCCTCACGCACTAAATATTAACAATGAAATTTTGCTGAATTAGATAGTGCAACCCAAGCTGTGCTCAGCCCATTCGCCAGGAGCAGCAGCCAAATCCTGCCATCAGGTATGCATCTGCAGCACACCCGCCTTTTAGTGGGCGTTAAAAGTGCATATGTGAGGGTGGAATTTGGCTCTCAATTCTTCTGGCCTTTTGCAGTTATGAGTGAGCCCAGGCCTTATAGATGTGGCTAAACAAAAGGAGTCACACGTGAGTATCTCAGAGCAGAACTTGGCTTCAGCGCATGCATGTCAGTGCAATGTGTGGGAGTGAAACGGATTTCACATCCATGCTAACACTTGTGTCTTCAGCAGCTGGCAAGTCTCCCAGTGTTATGGTTGTATAAGCATTCACAATGTTGGTTTTTTTTCACTCTCTGCTCTGCGCTGAATGCACTGAATGCCTCCCTTTTCACTCTTCCCCTTGCACCAGGCCTGTCACCAGCCCTTCTTGTTTGCATCCACCCTCTTGGCAGCCCTGGAGCACTGCATCCTTCTCTGCTGATGGATTTTTAAATTTTTTTTTTTTTAACTTTTCTTGTAACATCCATGTTTTTAGCGTGTTGGGGAATATTTTGGGTCAGTCAGAAGGAATTGTGATTTTGTTAATCTATGCTGCAGGAGGGAGACTGTAGTAAAATGAAATCTTATGGTTTCCCAGCTCCCAGTCAGGTTGTCGGTGTTGACTTAAACATTCTTTCATTGAATTGAACCTGCAGGAGCAATGGAAACCAACAGACACTTCTTCTGCACCTGCAAAAGAAGCTGCTGCTCTCAAGGCTTATTTACACTCTTTAAAAAAAATTCTCTTCCCATTTGCTCAGCCAAGCACTTCCTTTAGAGCTTTGGCAGCACAGACAAAGAGAGTATATATTTAACGCCCATTTTAAAAAGTAATGTAGAGTTCATCAATACTGTGTTTTAAATTTAGGTTTACCATAATTTCAATTGTTAAATTAAATGTTTAAAATGTATTATACTTTAATAACATTACCTTTTATATGGAAAAAAGCCAGCCAAGCTTAAAAAAAAGTAGTAAACTTATTGTTCCTGCATTTCTAAAGCCACCAACTGTGACTTTTGATGGTGTTTTATAGTGTGTCACAGTCATGGAGCTGTTTAGCCAAACTGATGCTTTTACCACTTTCAGCAGCAGAAAGAGATATTTACATATATAAATAAAAGTTCTCAGCTAGAGCTTTTAAATAATGTGGAGTGAGTGTTAAACTCAGGAATTCAGTTTGAGAGCCAAGTTAGCAAGCTGCCTGCAGAGCATGTCTGCAGAGTCAATGGCTGGGAGAGGAATTTGTAGACCCCTGTTCCTGGCTGAGAGCAGCTGTGGGATGGCTCCACAGAGATTACTTCAGTGAGAGGCCAACTCCTTTAGAGCTTCATTATTTCCTATCTCTGTATGGATGTGATTTAGGGACTTGGTACATCATAGATGTACTAGGCTGAGCCCAGCTTTCTTTATCTCCTCTGCTTCGTTGTATTGTTAGGAAGTACTGTAGCTATCAGCCAAATCAATAGCCACAAGTTTGATTGAATGGGGTGTTTAGCCATAGCTAAACTAAACATAGCTAAACTAATCATTATGATTTTTTACTTACGTAGCAGAAGAAGTGGGGTCAAGTGCATCCTCAGCAAGTTTGCTGATGATACCAAGCCGTGGGGTATGGTCTAGAGAGACGTAGACAGACTTGAGCAGTGGGACCAGGTGAACCTCATGAGGTTCAACAAATGTAAATGCAAGGTCTTGCACCTGGGTTGAGGCAACATCCACCAGTAATACATGCTGGGGATGAAAGGATTGAGTGCAGCCCTGCTGAAAAAGACCTGGAGGTAATAGTGGATGGGAAGCTGTATGTGACCCAGCAATGTGCCCTTGCAGCCCAGAAAGTCAACTATGTACTGGACTGCATCAAAAGAAGTGTGGTCAGCAGGACAGGGAGGTGATCCTCCCCCTCTGCTCCATGCTGGTGAGGCCTCTCATGGAATACTGTATCCAGATGTGGAGTCTTCAGTACTGGAGAGACGTGGACTGTTGGAGCACATCCAGAGAAGGGTTACAAAAATTCTCCAAGAGATGGAACAGCTCTTTTACAAGGACAGGCTGAGAGTGCTGGGGCTGTTCATCCTGGAGAAAAGAAGGCTCTGAGATGACCTGATAGCGGCCTTTCAGTATCTAAAGGGGAGCTACAGAAAAGAAGAGGACAGACACTTCAGCAGGGTCTGTGGTGATAGAACAAAGGGAAATGGCTTCAAGCTTAAAGAGAGGAGATTTAGGTTGGATATAAGGAAAAAGTTTTTTTTTTTTACAGTGGGGGTGGTGAGGCACTAGCACAGGTTGCCCAGAGATGTGGTGGATGCCCCATCCTTGGAGACTTTCAAGGTGAGGTTGGATCGTGCCCTGGACAGCCTGATGTAGCTGTGCATGTCCCTATTGCAGGGGAGTTGGACTGGATGACCTCTAAAGGTCCCCTTCAACTCTAAGGGTTCTATGATTCTGTGATATGAAGTTGCAGTAGTAATACTTTTCTTTTAAATACCTGAATGAAAGTATTATAGATTGCGTACTTTGCAGTGGTTGGTAACATTTGTTATCGTCAGCTAAGAGGCCGGGAAACTGAGCTATAGGAAAGCAAAAAGTTTTCTAAAATTTAATGAGCAGTAGATCAACTTGGATTCTGTATATAGGAAACAAATTTAGTGTTAACTATTTGATTTACTTTACCCTACCTAAATCTCACTGTTTTGTCATATAAATGTGTGCCTATCAGGAATTTTGTTAAAAAATTAAAAATTTTTAAAAATGGAAGAGAATAGCAATCACTGTATGTCAGCTATAACAGCTATATTCAATGCTTGCTTCTTTCTCACAAATGTAACGTAGAAAGCTTTAGAAAGGAAAAGGTTTCCATGTGTAGTTGAATGGAAGGAAGGTGGAAACTGACTGTATCAGTCCATACTTTTTAGCATTCTGTAGCTAACTTGAGGGCTAGTGGCTGAATCCGGTAGAGTCAGTGAAAAAACTGTTTCTGACCTCAGCTGGCTTTGGCTTAGCAGATCTGATAACACTGGCAAAATATCTTGATTTCTCTAACATTTTCCATATTTCTTTTCCCCCTTTCAGGAATGGGAGATGAAGAATGGAACATAAGTACAGCAAAACCACTCACTTTCCATAAAGGCTTTGCCTATTATGGACCACAACATAGGCTGCAAAGGACTCTTCCGGTGTATCAAGCGATACAACATAAGAGGTTTTATAATTCTGTTAAGTTAATGGTAGCTTGGCGCTAATTTGCCTGTATTCCCTCTACTGTATTGCTGTGTAACTACATGTGCCCCTTTTTATTACCTGTAACTCTTTATTTCCAGCTTCACTGGTAACACAAATGAAAACCAAAAAGCAAACCAACCATAGTAAGTAAAAAGAGGCATATAGTTGCAATTGAAAGTTTACTTTGCTGAAACAGTACAGACCAGCAATGTGAATTACATTGCATCAGATGGCCTGAACAGCACTGAAGACTGGTGCATTATTTAAGACAGATGTGAACTCATTTCAGATAAGTACTCTTGCAGGTAACACTGCTTTGGAGAGCTCTGCATGCCACAAGTGAGGCCACGTTGCTATTAGCGGTCCATGTGGCAAAAAAAAACTGAAGAAATGGCTTCACATGAATGGCATGACTTGCTTGGACTGGGAAGTGGGGAATTCGTCACTGCTACTGCCTTGATGGCAGTGAGAGACAGTGGAATGACACAACTCAGCTGTGAAGAGTTTTTGGATGCTTTTTAAGATAGATTTTTGTCATTGGGAAATAAAAAGCTTCCACACATTGGAAAAAATAGATTTTAGTACATTAGCTTTATTCTGAGGCACCAGTCATTTTCAAAAGTCTTGTTGTCTAGCAGTGATTCATTTCTGATTTTGTTAGAAGGCAAACAGGTATTTTTAGATATTACTTCTTTTCTATACTTTTTGAAAAAGAAAAAGAAATGTAATTGAAATTAATCCTCAACAGATAATGGCAACTCAGAATAGCTTTTGAGGTCTGTCGTGTTTTTTTTTTTTAAATATAGTATTGTTAAACTTGAGTTATAGAACACTGCTGTACTTCATTTTCTTCATCTTTTCAGACCTCAGCTGTTATTTTTGAGGAAGACAAGACTGAAAGGATGATAATTTTAAGTCTTTTTTATAAACATTTTTACAAAGAATTGGGGATTTTCTCAGACAGAAGTTGGATTTCTAGGAAACAGTATCTTGTATTTTAGTCTGTGACATTGTAGACGTGTTCATCTTTGTCTCTATCCGTGTCACTCCTGTGAAATTACATGCATTAAACTGCCAGCTGAAGCCTTTCAAAATCTCAAGATTGGCATAAGACAGAGAGAAGAAAACAACATGTAACAAGTTGGGGTTTTTATTCTCTGTGTCTTTTTTTTTTTTTTTTTTAAGCTTTTGGAGAGCCTTCAGTCATGTTCTCAAGATTTTTCTCCTCAACTGTGAAGATTAAAAAACTAATTTAAGAAAATTTGAAATAGTACTCATATTTTGAGATAATTGGAAAAGTTAGGGCTGGAATCTTGATAGATGGTTAGGACTTGCAATTCAAAATCGCAGAAGCTGGCAATGCAATAGTTATCAAGGATGGCAGATCTCTTTATGGCCCAGGCCCACAGGTTGCCTCTTCCCTTTAGGAAGAACTGTAAGTCCTGAAGCCTACACAGGTTGTGACAGCTGATGTGGTTAGCTGAGCATTCAGCTCATTCCTGACCTGCATCAGAGGCACTCCTGTAGGAGCTGTTTGGATCAGTAAACCCAGGGCCCCAGCGCTGAGCTGTCAGAAAGTCTCGACACACGGCAGCTCGCTCCAGTCAGGCCACCGTGAATGCCAAGTGCTTTTGAAAAGTAGGTCCATAGCAGTCCATATCCAAGGGCTAAATCCTGTTCCCAAATGCAGTTAGGGATCTAACTGACCTTAGCAGAGGAGAAAAGAAACGGGGCTCAAAATTAGAGAAGGCTCTTTGCTTCTTGGGACTGTGCTTTGCACAAGGAGCCACGAGAATGCGAATATAATGGGAAACACATATCAAAGTGGTTCTCTGTGAAACCAGGATATATATATATATTTTATATTAGTTTAGGTCTGCTTACTTACTGACTCTGTAAGTGGAGAGTACATCCCATACTGTATGACTATGGACTAAGCAGTATCAAGTTCCCATAAATTTTAGCAAAAATAAATTTGAAAGAAAAGTAAGTTCATTTAGGCTTTTTATTTCAAATTAAGTTATTTATTTGTATATTTCAATAAATATTTATTTTATATCTGTACATATTTATGATGAAATTAGGCTTCTAGTCAACATTTGCAAGGATGGAACAGTTGCCATTAAGTGGTCCCACGTCAAGTAACGCAGAGTAATCAAAAGTAATCAAATTCAATTCCTTTGAGTCAATCTTATTTACCCAATATTGGTGTTGTATCTTCCATACCCTTTCACCTGTCCTCCTGCAAAGGGTCCTTAAAGCCATTCCCCCTCCCCTGTTACCCCATACTGTAATTGTATGTTTCTAATGTCTAAGTGCATTGGTAACACTGCAATTATCCTTTATCTATTCTGTATAATAGCCAAGGTTTTGAAAGGATGAAACAACAGCAAACAACAACTCTGGAAATAACTTCTTGATAGACCACATCCAGTGCTGTGAAATACATTCCATTTTGTCTAACAGTACTGTTGCAGTGCGATTTATATGAAAAGCAACAGAGCTTGTATTTTCCATGTTTTTATGATTTCAGGATCACCAGACAAAGTCAGCAATAGAGCAGTATGACTTTTTAAATGGAAAAATATTGTATCTTAAACCATTGCATTTCTGTGTCTTTTGACAAGATGTTATACTCGTGCTTCCTCAAACTCTTGTTACTGTACCAGGTGCTTTGAAATTTTTTTTAATAAATAGGTGATGATTTTTTAAAGGCAACATCATAATCTTGGGGATCAAATGTGGGTTTTTTTAATGAGATGATTGTGGTAATTTGATTTTTCAGAGGGAGAGTACTTAATTTACTATCTTTTTTTTTTTTTTTTTTTTTTTTTTTTTCATTTAAGACACTTTCAAACTAATTGGCCCAGGCTGTGTGTTGTAAGATAATGTTCTCATATTAAGAATGTAATTATTTCCTTATTGTATTTTTTAAAAACAAAATCATATTTAAAAATCTCTGTGAAAAAAAGCATGAAAGAAACATGAAAAAAAGTTTTTGTTTTATTTTTGTTATTGGATATGTTGGCAGTGCCCGTTATAATTGACTGTAAATATAGTCTTTCTACTGTATTTCTCAACGTATTTAATTTTGTCTTTTGGCACACATTCATAGAAACTTCTGTTTAAAAAGAAAAAAAAAAGTTCAAAACAGACCCACCTACAAATGTGTGTCTTAGTAGCTTCAACTAACTTTATGCCTTTCTAGTTTATTCTTCAGAAAGTCTTGCAGAGTGTGAAAAAAAGACAGGCACCTGGTAGGTGCGACAGATCCAAGACCATTATTAATAAAGTTACGTGTCATAAAGATGCATTTGTATTGTTGTTTCTTGGTATTTATCCTAATAATGGGTACATGGCATCTTAGCATGGTACCCACAATAATCAGCCTGACTTGAAGATGATTATTCTATATCAGTCAGTTGAAAAATGCATGGATAGTTTAGAATTAGTATCACATCTGTCCCCGTGAAACTGCTATGACCTTCTTATATGGAATCTGTTGAGTCATGGCCTGAACCACTGATTGAGCACCTGGGGAGAGGACCTGGTCAGCACTGAGAGCACAGGTGAAGGCAATTCAGCTGTGCAGCTAAGGGGGTGGAGCCTGGCTGCACTTCTCAAACCTTATTTAAGGGCTGACTGCCACTGGGGAAGGATCTCTTTCTGAAGAACCCTCCTTGGGGAAGATTTCTATTGTGGACCTGGAATCTTCTGATACTATGGGTGAGTAATCTTCTTCTCTTCATTTATAGCATCTTTCTATCGTGCTGATCCTTCTGTCGTTTCATCTTTGTTGTAACACTTTTCCCATTGCATTGATTCTCTAATTGCTACACCTGCTGCAACTTGAGTATGCTGTTAGAGCCCAGCAATGGAAGTTCAGTGTATTTAGAGCTTGTAGCAGAAGCTCATTCTGCTTATCTGCTGTTACTTCATCTTCTGCTTAGATGTTAACCCTATCAATAAGTATCATAAATCTGTATAACAATAAGGATTACCCCCAAGAAATTAAAGAATCAGACCAATCTAATAATCAGGCTGTATAGCTTTGAGTGCATCAATTCCTTATAGATGATTGACAGATTAGATTGCAAAGTGATAAGCCATAACTACGTCTTGTTACTTTTGCTAGATTTAGCTCTCACACCCACCACATTAGACATGACATTCAGTAGGAAATACATTTCATCTTACTAAACTCGGAGAAGTAATACTATAAATTAGTGCCTCGTTAGCTTTTTGTACTCACAGCCTAGACCTAAGGAGGAAAGGATAGCCAGCATATGTAAAACATACAGTGGTGCTATAAGTAATAAGAATTGTGTTGCAGATGGATACAGCTTTTTGTTATCCATGCCTGTAATACTACCTTTTGCAATTAAAAATCTTTCCACCTCAAAAGCAAAGCAAATTGTTAACATTTCTCTAGATAAAGAAAAAAGGTGTGTAGGGAAGATATATAGTGAACAAGTTGTACTTATGTATGAGAGCTACTGAGTCATGGCCTGAACCTCTGATTGATCACCTGAGGCAAGCAGTGAGTCAGTAGTGGGAGCACAGGTGAAGACAATTAGACAGTTCAGCTGTGTGAATTGAAGGGGTGGAGCCTGGCTCCACTTCTCCTAGACCCCATTTAAGGGCTGACTGCCGCTGAGGAAGGATCACTGTGGAGATCACTCCTCTTGGAGTCTTTTTTTTGCGAGCTCAGGACATGGCTAAGTTTTTCCATTTATTTACAATTATCCCTTTCCAACATGATAGTCTTTCCAGCTATATTTCTCTAAAGACCAGCTTAACTTCTCTGTGTACTTGTTGATTATACATCTATATACTTGTTGATTATGCAACTTACATGTTTTATAAGTCTAAATATATAATATAGTACAATACTTGTCATATGTATTATAGAATCATCCTGGTTGGAAAAGACCACTGAGATCATCTAGTCCAAACACAACCGATCCCCACCATGCCCACTAAAGTGTGGCCCCAGTACTACGTCTACAGATTTCCTGAGTGCCAGCAGAGACGGTGACTGCACCACTTCCCTGGGCAGCGTTCTCATTACAAGATGAAGTTTTTCCTAATAACCAACCTAAACCTCCTTTGGTGCAACTTAAGGCCATTACTTCTCATTCTGTCACTGGTTACCTGATAGAAGAAGCCAACCTGTTATTACAGTATAATAACATCTAAACGAAACTTAGAAAATAAGTATCTTAGATTACTTAAGCTCATGACCTAAAATTACCTTATAAATGAATGTTGTAGGTTTTTTAAAAACTATGTTTAACTTTTGCTCTACCTATTTGCAGACCAAAGACATTCAGTGATTTGTAGGACCTCACCAATATCCAGCTTACTCCACTGAGGCATCCAAATTATAAGCAGCGCAGTGCTTTAGTGTTAAATTCTTTGTTTTTCTTTCCCTGCTTTCTCCTCCCTGTTCATTTTTAAATTGTCTTCTGAGTTTTGAACACCATCAGACATCTCATTACAGTTCCAGCGTGGAACATTATAAAGAAGGGCTCCATTTTAGAGGAAATACGGTGGCAAAGGTGGCACCATTTTTTCTAATAGAGAGAAGAAAGATCAGAAAGCAGAGACTTTGACAGCTCTATTGGGCAAAGTGACAGCATAATAAAGTGAAGAATTAATAGGCAAACTGAGAAATCGCTGCACTGGGTGTAGAGTAAACATGGCTTTTTTCTGGGATGTCATTAAGTGCTAAGAAGCTGTTAAAAGGCATCCAGGAAAATAAGATCTGCTCAGATTTTTCAGTCCACCTTTGACAAGGTCCATCACTACAGAAACTTAAAGAGCTTCTAGAGAAAAGGAGAAAGTCTGATAGGATAAGTATCAGGTTGTTAGGGAAAAAAGTGTGTAAGTTCATTTTTCTTGGTGGCTCTGAGCATTGGGACCCCAATGGGCTGGGGCATTCTGAGACTTGTGCATATCTGAATATTCAGAAATGACTGGAAAAAAAAGAAGTGAGAAGAAAAGTTTGCTTTACCAACTTTATCAGGATAATTAAACTAAACTCCAACTACAATGGAGATATGCCCCTGGGCAGCCTGGTTTAGTGGTTGGTGACCCTGCACACAGCAGGGGGGTTGAAACTAGGTGATCTTTGAGGTCCTTTTCAACCCAGGTCATTCTATGATACAAGGATTTGCAGAAACTTCACCAGAAGTGAAGAACTCACCTATCATCTGCAGCACCTCCATTGTCTGCTTTAAGATCCATAAAACATTACCCATGCCCTAGCTGGGACCTGGATGTCCTGAATAAACTCATACTGGTGATGGCATAAAAGAAAGAGAGAATCAAAACCACAGAAACCACTTCATGCTGGGGAAAAAATAGTGATATTAAAATGAAATCCAAAGGGGATGAAGGAAAATGGCTTCTCATTGTGAAGAAAGGAGTCTGGAGGGAAAGGCATATGTTAAAATGTTATAAAAATCTGCAGCAGAAAGAGAACGTGACTAGGGAATGAAACAGTCCTCTCACTAATAGTACAAGCTCAGAGGGTACCAAAATTAATGAAGCAGGTTCAAAACAACTGCTCCGAGGTACTTTCACTTAGCATAATTCAGATGTAGAACTCATTGCTGCAATGTAGTAGATGCTAAAAGCTTATGCAGACCCATAACAATAAAGATTAATAGTGGAGAGGAATGATTTAAGGTTATTAATGACAAAGCTACCAGTTCAGCAGGGAGGTCCAGCCCCACAGTGAGTGGATGCTGGAGATGCATACTTACTGGATAAGTGTCACTTCCGTATGCTTCCTCCTCTTTCCCTGCTATGTGTATCTTGATAAATGAAGCTAGTTTCTCTCATGGAAGACTATTTAATTTTTTCTGACCACTAGTTACAGAAGCATTCTTTCCTATAAAACTTTATATATATATATATATATATATATATATATATATATATATATATATATTAATGCTATTATCTTAGGATTCAGACAATGCAATGTCATTACTTCAGAATCTATAGGGTAATTGAAATAAATTACATCAAGGACATTCCTCTTCAATGTTCCATCCTGATGACAAGAAAATAATTTTCCTATTAGATGTTGCTTTGCTCTGTAGAAATATAGCTACAGAGTCCCAAGTTGAACATAAGTGAAAAGCTCCACTGCTGGCTTCATTATGAGTTTTGCAATAGACTGATAATTGCTGTTGCTGTGTTATTGATTGGAATTACTACTTTAACTTTTTTTTCCCACATGTACTGCTGCTTCTAGTTAATTATTTATTTATTTATTTATTTATTTATTTTGAGATCAGCTTGTGATAGGGGGAACTATAGGCCTGTTAGCCTGACCTTGGTACCAGGGAAGGTTATGGAGCAAATCATCTTGGATGAGATTGCACGGCACGGGTTCGTGAAAGGCAGGTCGTGCTTGACCAACCTCATCTCCTTCTATGACTGGGTGACCAGTCTGGTAGATGAAGGAAGATGTTGATGTATCTTCAGCAAAGCCTTTGACATGGTCCCTCACGGGCTTCTTCTGGGGAAACTGGCTGCCTGTGGCCTGTACAGGTCTACCCTTCTTTGGGTAAGGAACTGGCTAGAGGGCCGTGCCCAGCGGGTCGTGGTGAATGGAGTGAAGTCCAGCTGGTGACCCGTTTTAAAGTGGTGTCCCCTAGGGCCCATCTTGTTTAATATCTTTATTGATGACCTAGATGAGGGGATTGAGTGCACCCTGAGTAAGTTTGCAGATGACACCAAGTTGGGAGGTAGTGTCGATCTGCCTGAGAGATTTAGACAGGCTGGACTGCTAGGCTGATGTGAATGGGATGAGGTTCAACAAGGCCAAGTGCCAAGGTCTGCGCTTTGGGCACAACAACCCCATGCAGCGCTACAGGCTTGGGGATGAGCGTGAAGAAGGACCTGGGGGTGTTGGTTGATGCTCGGCTGAACATGAGCCTACAGTGTGACCAGCAGGAGCAGGGAGGTGATCATCCCCTCGTACTCAGCACTGGTGAGGCTGCACCTCAAGTACTGTGTTCAGTTGTGGGCCCCTCACTACAAGAAAGACATTGAGGCCCTGGAGCGTGTCCAGAGAAGTGTAACGAAATTGGTGAAGGGGTCTGGAGCACAAGTCTTATGAGGAGCGGCTGAGGGAGCTGGGATTGTTCAGCCTGGAGAAGAGGAGGCTCAGGGGAGACCTCATTGCACCTCCAGAAGGGAGGTTGTGGTGAAGAGGGATTTGGCCTGTTCTCCCAAGCGATGAGCAGGACACGGGGAAATTGCTGCAAGTTGTACCAGAGGAGGTTTAGG